AACCAAACAGAGAACAGGGGGAAACCTCTTAGTCACACTTGGTTCCTAGAAAACCAGTCCACTGTTCTGTCAGTTCTAACTTGGGCCATGGAGACCAAACTTGGTAAAAGTGAATCACCATAGGACAGAAAAGGAAGGCGAATTTGACTCATGGTACACTAGGGATGAAGCTGGAGGAGGGAGGGGATCGGGCTGTGCCATCCCATGTTGATGTTTCTGAGCTGAAAGCAGTGAGAACCGGCAGACACAAAGGCGGAGAGAGATAAGGTGGAACCCAGAGATGAGCAGATAGACTCATCTCTCGGTCCCCCTCCGCTCTGACGAACAAGCAGAGTGTAAATTCCTCACCTCCCTGTACCGGAACGAGGGCAGTGAGCCTGGAACTGCAGACAGCAGCATTGACATGCGTGTGTCTAAACCTCCCTAGAACAGGCCTTATCTTCCATTAGTCCCCCTCCCCCCCATGTATTTCCGAGCCATCCTCCCACAATGTGTCACCCCTCGATGCCCGGAGCCCCTTTCCTCTGTCTAATTCTACAACTTACTGCCCCATGTTAAAATGTAGGCCAGTCTGAGTGTAACCACTTCCCCTGGATTTTTCTCTTCTTTCCTGTGAAGCCACTATGCGTGTAAAATTAGTAACATCAGTAAAATGTCTTTTCTCTTGTTGGTTTGTCTTTTGTCAGTTTAATTCATAGGCCCCAGAACAAACCTAAGAGAAAAAGTTGTGGGGTTTTTTTTCCTTCCCTACGAGGACATTATGCTAAGTGGAATAAGCCAGCCACCGAAAGGGAAATACTAGATGATTCTATAATACTTGAATAAGGTGCTTGGGGAGGTCAGATTCATAGACCCGGAGAGTGGAACGGTGGTGGCCGGGGCTGAGGGGAGGGCTGGCGGGAGTTGTGGTTAGCGGGCAGAGTGTTAGTTGGGATGATGAAAAGTTAGGGAGATGGATGGCGGGGACAGCTGCACGGCGATGTGAACGGACTTCAGGCAACTGCCCTCTGACACGGGCTGTGGCACATGTATGTGCTGGGTAGTTTACCACAATTTTAGAAAATGGAATTCGTTGCTGCCCTATGAAACCCTGGAGTGGCAGCTGAGAGCCAGTCACATGGCTGCCCTGAGAGCATCCTGAAATTCGAGGAAATGACTTCTCATCCTGGTCCGGTGGGCGGGGCGTCCTCCAGGCCGGAGCCTGGGAGCACCTCTCCCCTCTGGCCTCCTTCCCACCCGCCCGGGCCCGTCCGTCCGGGCGATGCTGTGCGGAGCCACACGCAGAGGGAAGCCAGGAGGGTGGGCTCCGGATTTCTGAGGGCAAGCCAGTGACTGGAAGGAGAGAGTTCACTAAAAAAAAAAAAAAAAAAAAAAAAAAAAAAAAAAAAAAAAAAAAAAAAAAATCTGTTTTGGGGAGAAATCCCGGTCAAATGAGTGTCTCCAGGGGGGCACTGGGCTTCCGGTGGGTGCAGTGTGGTGGCTGGCGTTAAAATAGAGTTCAGGTAAATGCAAAGTGCAGGCCAAAGATTCTTGCCCTGGGGAGGAGCTGTCTCCGTGTCCCTCTGCCAGCGAGTCTAGGACGCGGGAGGAGAAAGACCACGGGTGGATGTGAGACAGGAACCCAGAGATGAGCAGACAGACTCATCTCTCTGGGTTGGTGTGCCTTTGACAATCCGCGACTCTCTAGGCCCCTCCTGGCCAGTGAGACTTCTGCGGCATGAGATGGACCAGCTGGTGCAGTGGGTTAGCTGGTTGGGAAAGCTTCCCTTGAGTGTCTTCATGTGCTGCAGCCCGGGGGCCCTGTAACCCTGGAAACACTTGGGCTGCTTTCGCTGCTCTGTCACTTCCCTGCGGTGGGCCAGCCTGGCTGCCTCGGCAGAGGCGGGCCTGGGTCTGAGGCTGCTTCCTGACTCTGGCTGCGCTGGACAACCACGTGGGGAGGTTTCGAAAGGCACAGAGACCTGGGGGTCCCCCGCCCGTGAGAAGGAGAATGCTGAGGGGGAAAGGCCCGGGCTTTTCGGTAAGGCTCCCTGGCCAGGGTGTTGTGTGCCACGCTCTGGGGGCGTGGGAATCCCGTCCCTCCTCTCCCCTTCCCCCCTCGGTGCAGCCCCCGCGGGTTGCTTGGAGGCAGGCACCCCGTCTCCGCGGGGGAATCCAGCGGGCCTGCGGAGCTGGACAGCCCTGCCTCCTCCCGCACCCCGCCCTGAGGTCCGAGGCCCCGAAGGCCTTGGGGTCCGTGCGGCGGCGCACAGAGAAGTGGGGGCGTGCGCTTCCCCACGGTGGGGTGAGCGGAGCTGCCGGATGGTTTCCAGCTGTCACCCCAGCTTCCCCGCCGGGCCTGGGGCTGTTAAGGCGCCGGCACCTGAGCCCCATCGCTGAGCCGGAACCCTGCGGGCGGAGGGAGGCGGAGCCGGTGCGGAGCGGGCGGAGGGGAGGGAGGACTCTCTCCGGGAGCCCTCCCGGCTGTGAGCTGGCTCCCTGGCTCCCGAGAGTCCGCCTTCGGGGGGAGGGGAGGGGAGGAGAGGCGGGTGGGCAGCCAGACTCTCCCACCCCGGCCGCAGGGGGGCCGGCCCTGGGCGGGGTGCGCGGTCGAACCTCTTCCCAGGACACCGAGCCTCCTCTCCGCTCAGCCTCGCCGGGGCGTTAGCCGGGCGTCATCTCCTGGCTCAGGAGCAGATCCCACGGGCTGCGATCTGCGGGGCTCCCAGGAGCCGAGTTTCCTGAGGCTGCACATTTTTCCGGCGTGATGCTGCCCCCGGGCGTGCAAAGCAATGGAGAGGGGGTTTGTTTTAACATCATTTCTGGGACCACACAGAGGACTCTCGGTGGGTGGGTGGTAGGGCCCGGGTGCGAGTGCACCTGGACCGAATTAGACCTCAGAGGAGGGCTGCTGAGGGCCGAGGCCGCCGGCCAGGTCCGCGGATCATCTCCGCGGCGAGGCCGGCTGCCTGCGGGGCAGGTGCCGGAGGAGCTCGCTGCTGCTGTACGTGTGTGCGTGTGTGTGTGTGTGTGCATGCGTGTGTGTGCATGCGTGTGTGTGCGCGCGTGTGTGTGCGTGTGTGCATGTGTGTGTGTGCATGTGTGCATGTGTGTGTGTGCGCGCGTGTTGTGGGGGGCAGAGGAGAACACGTGTTTCCATCCAGCCCTGCCCTTCCTGACGTTGGAACTTGGGCAAGTCACAGCCTCTCTGAGCCTCTGCTTCTCGCTGTGAGAAGAGGGAACTGGATTGTGGGGACTTGCTGGAAGGTGTGGGAGGAGATGGGAGAGAACCAAGAGCCCAGAAAGGAGGTCATGCTTCCCCAACCCCACCCCTCACGCCTTGAGCAGCCCTTCTCTGTTTACTGGGCTTTCTCTCCCGTTTTCCTTGAAAAGGGCTCCCACCACACCCTCTCCCCATCCCCACACCTGCCCCTGCACAGACCGATCAGCCGGCACCTGAGGGAGGTACAGACGCTCAGTTCTCACAGTGATTCTCGGCCGAACCCGCAGTGGGGACAGGGACGTGGGAGGTGCGCCCCTGGGGGTTCTGCGGGCCGCCTGGCCTGGCCGGTGGCGGAGAACCTTCCATTCCAGGTTCTGGGTGACCCGGTTTGACCCTCCCGATTCCACGCCTGTAGGAACATGATTGAGCAGCACCCGCTGCAAGGCTGCTGCCGCGGTGGGCCTGCTTGGCGGCGGGCAGAGGCCGCAGCCACCGGGCAGCTGGTTGACCCGAGCCCACCCCTGAGCAGCCACAGCAGCCCTGGGGAGAGGATACAAAGGCTCTTTCTTTCTGGGAATTGGCCCCCAAAACACGCCCAGCTGCGAGAGCTGATGCTCAACGTGAAGAGGACGGGGAGGATCAAGAGAAGCAGAGGCGGGGGTGAAGGAGCCGGCTTGCGCCTGAGCTGTGCGCCGGCCCAGGGTGCTGTCCGCTGTCGGGTCTCGGCCCAGGCCTGGGGGGGGGGGGGATTCACAGCTTGTCACAGGGTCTGTGTGATGAGGGGACGTGCATTAGGGGACATGCACTTTCAAAGGGGCTTTTGGATGGTTCCAATCCTTTTTCTCCCATTCGCTGTAGGAGTCAAGACATTTTTAAAAATCTGAACACAGCCCTAGCCAGTTTGGCTCCGTGGATAGAGCATCAGCCTGTGGACTAAAGGTTCCCGGGTTCGACTCTGGTCAAGGGCATGTACCTTGGTTGCAGGCACATCCCCAGTAGGGGTGTGCATGAGGCAACTGGTGGATGTTTCTCTCTCATTGATATTTCTAACTCTCTATCCCTCTCCCTTCCTCTGTAAAAAAAATCAACACAATGTATTTTTAAAATATTTTTTTTAAAAATCTGAACACAAGTACCTGAGTAGCTTGAGGACTGCCACCTTGTTAGTGCCAGGGAGAGGGGGCTGGCGCATGGCCTGGGTTCTATGCGAAAAGGGGGCTAGGATGCTTGTTTAAAATACATTTTCATTGATTTCAGAGAGGAAGGGAGAGGGAGAGGGAAATAGAAACATCAGTGATGAGAGAGAGTCACTGATTGGCTGCCTCCTGCATGCCCCCCACTGGGGACTGAGCCCGTAACCCGGGCATGTGCTCTCACTGGGAATGGAACCAGGACCTCCTGGTTCATAGGTCAATGTCAAACCACTGAAACATGTCAGCCAGACAGAGTGACACCTGAAAAATTGTCCACAAGGCAGCAGACTCTGGAACAAAGTCTTCGGTGAAACAAAAGCTCAGTGTGTGGAAACTGGCCGCGTCCATTGGGAACGGTGGGGCAGGCTTTGCTGAGTTGTCTGTTCCCCAGCCGTGAGCGGGAGGGGTGCTGGGGTGCGGTGGGTGGGACCTAAGAAGTGGGGGGAGGAGGCCAATAGGATGTGGGCCATACCCCAGGGGGTCACTGCTGGACAGAGGACACTGGCAGGAACCGCAGGGCCCGGAGTGACCTGGGGCCTCTCCCCTGAGTCCCCTCGGGAAGCCAGGCGACAGAGCCCGTAACCAGACGCCCCTCTCCTCCGCAGCTACCGCGTGAACTTCCGGCCCCGGTTCGTCACCAAGTACAAGATGGTGACCCAGCTGGAATGGAGGTGCTGCCCGGGCTTCCGAGGCGCAGACTGCCAGGAAGGCCCCCGAGACACCGGGAAGGCCCCGCGCCCCACGCCCGCCCGGCCCCGGAGCAGCCTGAAGAAGCCCACAGGTAACGGCCTCGCTGCTGGGAGGGCCCGGCACTCCCAGTGCCCCTCACACAGCCCCTCGTTACATTCAGCACATCGGTTACACACTCCTTAGGAAACCACGAGCCCTCGCTGCCCGAACTGGGCTGCCACCCTCTGCTCACAGCTGCCGCCTGCGACCTGAACTGCCCTCTCCTGTCCACTCTGTGCGTCCTGGGCCCGCTTGCTCCTTCCCAACCCACCCCCTCGCTTTGGGAGAGCACATCTTATCCTAGTCTCCTGAGATTGCACGAGAGAGAAACTTTCTGATACGTTATAGTCTAAAGACACCTTTATTCTAGTTTCAGAATTCCAGCTTGGAAATAATTTTCCTTTATATTTGAAAGCATTTTTCAATTTTCTTCTAACTTCCAATGCCTCCGGTTTCGATCATCTCCTTTTAGTTTTATCCTTCTCTATACCTACCAGTTTATTTTCACTTTATGACTCATCACAATCATCTTTATAATATTTTTTTCCTCTTGTACTGTTTCCTCGGGGTCATATTTCTCAAGGTAGGATTATCAAATATTCAAAGTGTGTATTCTTTGACTTAGTGCACCTTCCTACATACGGCCAAACAGCTCCATTGTTAGCAGATGCGGGAGAATCAGTTGCCTTATCTCTCTTTTGCTGTTAGTTTCCCCAACTGCATAGCAGCACCAAACAATGTCTGAGATTCTTCTAGCAAAGGGATGCTAATAAAAGTAAAAGAATGTTTATGGAGAGTGACTTGCCGCTCGAACAATATACCACCCAACAGCGAATGGATGGACCTCGATAAAGTGGCTTCTTGTGGTCTAACAGTATGCAGTCAACCATTGGGGCGTAGTGTGGGGGATGGCATTTTCTTATGATAAAGTAGATAAAGAGTACTTCCCTTCAGGGTGGAAGAGACTATTGAGTATCATGTGCCAATTCTGTTAACACCCAGGAGGGAGGATAGTCCCTCTGCTCCATGGATGAGGGGATTGTGGTTCTCAGAAGCTAATTCACATGTTGGAGGGCAGACAGTGTATCGCAGAGGCAGAATGCAAGTGATCTGTTTGACTGAAGGCCCTTCGTCTTTTCCCACTCTAACTACCTGTGGTGAGAGTGGATGTGGAAGCGAAGGTTTAAGTGTATTCTGTAAGTTCCCTGGTTATTGTCTTGGCAGAAACAAGTAAAAGTAGAAAATGCTGAGTCTTGACCAACTCTCTTTTTTTTTGTAACAGACAATGAGCCAAGCCAGGTCTCAGAGCCCAAGAAAACCTTGTCACCGACTAGTGCATCGAAACCAAATCGGGCAGTAGATCCAGAACTGGGTCCCCAAGAACTTCAGGACAAGAAAATCCAGGTGCTCGAGGAGAAGGTGCTCCGGCTCACACGGACGGTTCTTGACCTCCAGTCTTCCATCGCTGGAGTGAATGAGAACATCAAGCATACCATTCAGGACGACGCCAGCAAGATGCTGGCCTCGTGGCTCAATAACCAGCACCCCCAGCCAGTGCCCGACAGCGCCACGGTTGGTAGAGACACTGAAACGGCCCAGCTTCCTGGCGCCCTCAACAAAAAGGAATCCGGCATGAAGGACATCAAATCCGAGTTGGCCGAAGTCAAGGATGCTCTGAAGACCAAGAGTGACAAGCTGGAGGAGCTGGACGGCAAAGTGAAGGGTTACGAAGGGCAGCTCAAACAGCTCCAGGAGGCCGCCCAGGGCCCTACGGTGACCATGACGACCAATGAGCTCTACCAAGCCTACGTGGACAGTAAGATCGAGGCGCTGAGAGAGGAGCTCATGGAGGGCATGGACAGGAAGCTGGCCGACCTGAAGAACTCCTGTGAGTACAAGCTGATCGGTGTGCAGCAGCCGTGCGATGACTATGGGAGCAGCTACCTGGGTGTGATCGAGCTGATAGGGGAGAAGGAAACCAACCTGAAAAAAGAAATAAACGACCTTCGAGCCCGGATACAGGATCCTGCAGCCCGGCCAGATTGCTGCGATGGTGAAAAGACCGGTGACTTGGGGCAGCAGATCAAGGCGTTAGACCAGAAAATTGAAAGAGTTGCGGAAGCCGCCAGGATGCTAAACGGGCGCCTGGACAATGAGTTCGACCGGCTCCAAGTTCCAGAGCCGGATGTGGACTTCGATGCAAGATGGAACGAGTTAGACGCGAGGATCAACGTGACGGAGAAGAACGCGGAAGAACATTGCTTTTACATCGAGGAAACCCTCCGGGGGACCATTGCTGGAGAGGTCGATGACCTGAAGCAACTGCTGGGCCAGAAAATACAGTCCCTGGAAGAGCGTCTGGGGAGCCTGCTCCTAGAGATGACCAACCACACGGAAGCAGAGCCCACTCCCCCGGCACCAGCCCTCCCACCAGGCGGGCCCGGGGCGGGGCATGACCAGGTCATGGTGGAGTTAAACCACTTAAGGAAGAAAGTTCAAGCTGTGGAGGACATTTGCCTGCAGGGAGAGCTTCATGGGATAGAAGACGCTTTGCCACATGGAGAAGACCACGCTGTGGGTGACAGTGTGAGCCTTTTGAGGTCTCTAAATGACACGATGCACAGGAAATTTCAAGAAACTGAGCGTAGCATCCAGAGACTTCAACAGGATTTTAGTTTTCTTTATTCTCAACTCAACCACACAGAAGAGGATATGGATCATCTCCAGAATGAGCTGATCAAGTGTAGGGACGGTGAAGACGCCGGCGGGGACGGGTTTCCTAAGGGGGGCGAGCGAGAAAGGACGGCGGAGCCCGTCCCCACTCCCCAGGACGCCGCGGCTCCTTGCTGCGGCCAGCTGGAGGAGCGATGGCAGAGGCTGCAGGGCCAGGTGCTCGCCGAGCTGGACACTTGTAAGGAAAACACGCACGGGGTCCAGAGGGACGTGTCGGTGGTGGAGGACAGGGTGTCTCAGATGGAGAAAACGTGCAGCAAACTGGACTCCATCTCGGGAAGTCTTCAGAGGATCAAGGAAGGCCTCAACAAGCACGTCAGCGGCCTGTGGAGCTGTGTCAGGCAGATGAACGGGACCCTCCGATCCCACTCCAGAGACATCTCTGGCCTGAAGAATTCCGTGCAGCAGTTCTACAGCCACGTTTTCCAGATTTCCACCGACTTGCAAGATCTGATCAAATTTCAGCCGTCACCAGGTAAGTTGGCCTTTACAATACCATTCTTGTATGTGCTTGCCACGTGCATTGTGCTAGATTTTTGGACAGTTTGTGGAACTACTGACATCAGTGCTACTCCGAGTGTGCTTCATAGATGGGTGCCGGTTTGTGAGTCATTTGGTGCCGGGCAGCAATGGCATAAATAGCAACATCCAGAACAAGTATCTAGAAGCTTTTAAAAGAATTGGACATCACTGTAGCATTCAAGCACCTGTGTGGGCTGCATCCAGGAAATGTTGTCTTCCGGGCCAGCGCACATTTCCTTTGTGTCTCCCAGAGTTGAACGTCGATTTACTGAGTCCATGAGGACTTGTTCAGGGCCAGCTGGACAGAAGGACTCCCCACCACCACCACCTCCTGACCTGTCCTCTCCGTTTTCTTTCTCTCTCTCCTCTTCTTTGGGCCTTTATCACTTTCTCTGCCTTGCGCAGCTCCAGGTGACAAAGGCCCTTATGCGTTGAATTGAAATTTCACGGCCTGATGTGAGCCTATAAGATTTAGGATCAGGTCCCAGCTGAGACATAAAATGTGAGGAGGAAACGTCTGGAGCATGAGAGGTAGATGAGCCCTGGCCTGACTGGGGAGAGCAAGGCCAGGTCCTCAGGAGGATGGGGAAGGTCCGAGGTGGTCAGATATAAGGCGTTTGTAGATAAGGACTTACCCATGTCAACCAGGAGCAGGAAGCTGGCTCTGACCCAGTGTTGGGCCCCACACCACACTATTTATATCCCGCCCCTCTTCCCCGGCCCACGGAGCTCCTGTATCTCTGGAATGTTCACAAGACTGCGGGTGCTCACAGAATGATTGTCCCTTGTGGTGACAGTGTGTCTGGACAGTGCTTTATAGTAACCTATTGAACCAGATATTTCCAGTTGATTTGCAACTCCCAGGCAGTGTGGAACGCTGTGCGGACTCTCACGTTTGTCTGTTGACATAGGAGTTGGAGGTGTGGCTTCCAAAAGGTTATCCTTTTGCGATGAACTCAATGTTGTGAATGTGGAATGCATGGACTTCTGGGAATTTCAAAGAGCCCAAAATAACCAAGCAGAGCGTTATTCGCCCTTGTGTAGCCTCCAGGGCTGGCATATCTGTGACCTGAGTATCGGAGCTCCGTGGGTACATTAGGATCACAGTGTAAGTCACACATTGACTAGTAAAATGTCGACAGAACATGTATTGAACTTCTACTATGTGCAAGGGATACAGATGAGCATCACGATCTTCACCTGCAAGGAATTGTCAGCCATAGTGGCGAAGGCACACAGGTCTGTGGAGACCTGAATGAGACCGTATGCACAGGTCCAGGGGTAGTGTAGGGGTTACTTTTTAGTTCATAGGATCTTATTGAACCCTTATTGTGTGGTCGGTAATGAGCAGTGTGTGTGGAGTATATGGATGTGACAGTGACAGTCTGAGGAGAAGCAAGCAAACAGGGTTGGTTTTGGGAACGCGGTGTTCATGGGTGCCCTGGGCTTGGGGAGGAGCACCCACGGCTGCTGAGGAAGTTGAGGAGGCTCCTCAGAGGAGAGAGCACCTGAGCTGAATGTCCAAGATGGAGAATTCAGAGGCTGGTAGGGTGAGGAGTGAGGTAGAGTGATGAGAGAAACTTCTGGAAGGAAGTGTTACTGGAGCTAATAATGGAGGGATGACTAGGGATCAGAAAAGCAGGAGGCTGGAGGGAATACCTGGTGAGGAGTTGGTGTGAATTACCGTGTAACAACCTACAACAAAGATGTGTTATTCTCCGTTATTCTGCAAGTTAGGAACTCAGGCAGGGCTTGGCTTGGCGGTTCTTCTGCCCCATTTGGTGTCGACTTGAGCCATCTACTTGGCTGCAGGTCAGCTGCCATTGGCCTGTCTGGGTTGGAAGGTCAGGAGGACTTCAGCCACGTGTCTGTGCTGCAGGATTCCTTGATTGGCTGTCCCCTCTCTCTCCATTGGACTCCGTCACAGCAGGGTGACCTCAAGGTGGTCAGATTTATTAAACGGCAACTGGCCATTAAGGGAAGGTGGGAGTTGCTGGGCTTCTTCCAGGCTGGGCCCGGAGCTGGTATGGTGTTATGTCTGCCACATTCTGTTGGTCAAAGCTTCTGAAGGGCAATGTGGCTTGCATTGGTCAGGAGGCAGCAATGAATGCCAGTCTGATCAAGTCTGTGAGCAGGGGGGAAGGTTGTGGACAGTGAGGCCACAGAGGGGGTGGGAAGCAGAGCATGCAGGACCTTAGAGACTGTGGTAAAGGATTTGGATTTTAAGAACAATGAGAAGCCATCAGAGGATTTTGAGCCAGGAAGCAGTTTGAAAACCCATACTTTCTCTGTAACTTGGGGCAAGTTATTTATCTGCCTAGTGACCAACTTTCTGCGTCTACTGATTAGAAACAGGAATCACACCTCAGGAAGTTGTTATGAGGATTAACGCTCCTAACTAGTGGTTTTTCATTAGCCCGTGGTGATCACTCAGTAGATGTTGCCCATTATTTTAACCCTCCGTCCCCTCAATGGATGGGCAGTCAGTTCCAGGCCAGACTTTTCTCCCTTTTCCCTCAGCCTCGGAGGAGTGGGTGGGAGGGGAGCTCTGGGTGTCAGGCTCCGGGCTGCTCTGCAGAATGCTCTCGACAGGCAAGGCCGTCTCTCCCTCTTTTCTTTCCCTTTTGTTTTCTTCTTTGTTAAATTGTGGGCCAGGTAGACAGTGTAAAGCGCCTAGTAATCGCCCCTGCCAGCATTCAGAATTCACGTTCCATACTTCTACCAGAAGCTTGGCCCTCAGGGATAGGTTAGGTTCTGAAGGACCAGGGGGCTTCTCATCCTTTGCTCTTCTGTTCCATGGGCCTCTGCCTGGACACACTCACTCCCGTTTCCACAGGTGGGCGTGGGTCCGGCCGGCACACCCTCCCCAGCACCCTCTCCCTCTCCTTCGGTGGCACCTGGTCCCCACGCTGCCCAGTGCAGCCTCACTGAAGCCAGTGGAGGGGGGAAGGCAGAGTCTGTTTCCTGCCTGGGCCCAGGACCCTCCGGGCCCGCACTGCAAGCATCCTCAGCCCAAACTGGCTGCAGCCGGGCCGGCCTGCACGTCCAGCCTCCGCCTGGCTGCGGGAGACCTGAGCCGGCTGATTCTGGTGTTTGTGTGGTTCCCCTTCCAGGAGGGAGACAGGGGACTTCCTGGAGTGGGGAAACCCGGGGCTTCACCCAGCAGAGATGTGGGCGGGCGAGTATTTCTGTGCATCAGGGAAGCTCTCTTCCCCTACATCTCGTCACGGTTCCAAGAAGGGACCGACCGGCCTGAGTCGATGCCACAAGATTGTTTCAACATCCTCTAGACCACAGCCTCACTTCCCTTCCCAGCCGCCCGCCTCTGTCTGCTCATGTCTCATGCAACTATACTACTTAAGCGGTATCAGTCATGTTTCACTTAGGCGTGGTTCGGCTTTAAGAATCCCATCAGTATCGCGCTGCTTCCTTGAAGATGTGCTGTCAGAATGAAAAAGCATGCGTTTTTCAAATAGGGATCCAACCGTGAAGGCGGGCCGGGGAGAGTGGCCGACGCTGGTGGGGGACCCAGTGAGGTCTAAGCAGCGCGGTGGGCCTGGGGTTGTTATGAGCACAGAAGGGCTTAAGCGAACTCCATACCCTCAGACCACACAAACTCCAGACAACACACAGCCTTGGACCCTGCAGGCATCTGCTTTTGTTTGTTTGCTTAATCTTCACCCAAGGATATGTGTGTTTTTTAAAATTGATTTTAGAGAGAGAGGAAGGGAGGAAGAGGGAAAGAAACATCGGTGTGAGAGAACCATCAAATTGGTTGCTGCCCATACACACCCCGACTGGGGATCGAACCTGCAACCTTCTGGTGTACAGGGTGACGCTCCAGCCCACGGAGCCATCCGGCCAGGGCAAGGGCACTGCCTCGCAGGGCTCTTTAGTTGGTACAAATAGCGGCTGCCTTTCTCCACCATCACCACATGTAGAAGCTGTGGTCTGCAGACGGAGCTCCCCACATGCATGCAAAGCCCGCTGGGAGCTTACACCGGGAATCCAGGGCTCACTCAGGAGGTGCCTGTTCCGCGGGGATGAGGGAGACACAGGAGTTTGTAATGAAAAGGGTCAGCCCTGGCCTAGCTCTGGCCCCGGAAGTGGGAGCAGGAGCCGCGGGCCCAGGACCAGCTGTGCCCGGAAGGGAGCCGTGGGCAGGAGGGAGGGGGGGAGAGCGACTAAAACCACCGACTGTGACACCTGCCACCAACAGAAAGGCGGCCGATTCCGCGTTCGCCATCCATCCGTCTCTCCTTGTCTCGATGGCTGCAGCCGGATAATGAGTCCGGAGATCAGGTGGCGTGGGTCCGCTCCACCTTTCCATAAAACGTTAGAATCAGCTGGTGGGTTTCCGCCACGGGAGGAATTCAGACAGGCGAGACCCCTTCCCCGAGATTCAGAGAGGGAAGTATTTTCCACGTCAAGGGCATGGCCACCGCTCTTAACGCGGCACCTGAGCTGCGTTGTCAGTGGTGAGCTTTTCAGACACGTGTTCTCTGTTCAGCCCGACTCCCCGGGCTTCCCGTGGGGTCACGCCAGCCACTGGGCCCTGCCCTGGCGAGGAAGGCGCAGCGCGGCCTGCGGCGCGGCCCCTTGTGCCAGCGTCCAGCCTGTGCTCCGGAGAGCCATCCGTGAGGCCCTCTCCCGCCCTGCGCTGTGGGAGCAGAGGTTTTCCTCTGAGGCACCTGCCTGCCCTCCCTGGAGGGGCTGCCTCTGGCCTGCTCTCGCCTCTCCCTCGTGGGGCCCCTGTGTGTGTGTGTGTGTGTGTGTGTGTGTGTGTGTGTGTCACGACAATCTGTGCGGTCAGCCGGGAGCCACCGTGGGGACTTCCTGGTGGTGGCGGCGTGGGCTGTTCCCAGAAACCGAGCTTCTGCTTCCTGGTGTGGCAATCGGCTCTGGGCCGTCCTGCGCCCACACCGTCACCTCCTCCCGTCAGCCTTTGGTGGGGTTTTAAAGCCAGGAGCCTTGAGGGGCGTCTGTAAAGCACTCCCATAGCTGCAGCGTCTGGTCTGCAGGCACATCCTCCGGACGCAGGCGGCGTGTCCCCGGGCCCCGGCCTCCGGAGAAGTGCCCTTCCCGGGCGCACCGTGCTCTGTGATTAGGGGCTCGCACCCCGCCAGCCCGGGTCGGCCTGTGCAGTGGAGGAGGGAGTAAGTAGCTCAGGAGGTTTCAGCGGCTTTCCCACCGCCAGGCCTGGACCACAGACACCGACGCCGACGTCCAGGCCAGTGCCTGACCCACAGCCGCCTGTTCTGTGCCAAAGACGCCGCTGAAGTGCCAGGAACATGCTGAGGAGCCTTAGCTTCTGCAGCTTCGATTCACACTGCGGCCAGCCTGCCTCCAGGGCCCCCGGCGGCTGCAGGAGGAGGGCCAGCCCCGCAGTCCTCAGCTGCACACCAGCCTCGTGGGTTTGGGTGGTTGTTAAAGGCAGGCCTTTGTCTTAGTGAAGCTGAAACTGGCTTGTAGTGGGAACTTTTAAGGAGAGGGAGTGGCTTTTGTTGCCCAGTCCCTCCCTGGTGAGGCCGGGTCCTGCCTGGCCTGCTCCGGAGGCCACACACTGGCATCAGGGCAGTGCCCGGGGCCCCGTCCCTGACCCAGAGCAGCTCACACGCCCGGACCCACTGCTCACCAGCCTCACGCCGAAAACGCGGCAGACACACTCGGCTCTCGTGAACGCGGCTCCGATGGTCGCTGTCAGGATTAGAAACACATGTCCAGCTCAGCGAGCCTGGCTGCCAGCTATCTTTCTGGAGCGAGCAAAGCGCTGTCTCGTCTTGGTTTCAAGTTTGTAGAAAGCGTTTGCATCAGGAGCCAGGGATGCCGGGCGGGAGTGTGGGCTGGGGAGCCGGGGTGGGCTCCGTCCGTCTGTCCGTGAGCAGCTGTGCAGCTTTTTCGTTCTTTGCTGGGATGTGATGGGAGATAGGAGGGAGGGGTGGTGGAGCGTTCAGCTCTCGGTGCTTGTGGAAGGACCCCCAGGGAGGTTAGTGGAGGGCATTTGCCCGAGCAGAGTATTTGTTCATTCTCTCCCCACTGCCTTCCCCTCAGTATGAGGGGTCTGGGTGTTGAGGGAGAGATGACTATGAGAGGGAGAACGATCGCTGACTCTGCACACCAGTATCTCCCTGACAGGACCCCAGAGGGGCAGCTGTTGGCAAAATTAAGATGCCACTTTAAAGGCCGGCAGGAATGTGGGTGTGGCCCCTAGCACCTGCCATCCTTCCAGCCTCCTTCATTCGCCAGACCATCTCCTGTGCCAGGCACTGGGGAGGACAGGTCATTAACATGTGTCCTCCAGTGCTCATCGCCTGGCAGAGAGGCCGGGTAAGAAACTGACAGAGCCCCCAGAGGCCCCGCGAGCTTCATGCTTCAGAGACAGGATTGTTCAAGCCCTACCGGGCAGATCCAGGATGGCTTCACAGAGGAGGTGGTGTGTGAGCTGCAACTTCAGGGCTGGGTGTGTTTCTCTCAGTGAGGGAGCCAGAGGAGGCCATTTAGGGAGAGAGGGGGAAAAAGCCACAGGAAGAGGTCAGATAAGAGGTCAGCTGATGCCTGTGGAGAGGGGCAGGTGCTGGGGCCTATGATGCCAGGCAGAGACCACCTGATCGGACTTGATGAGCAGCGGGAAGCAGAAGAAGAGTGTTGAGCAGGGAAATGATGCTAGAACGCTTTCTACAGGGCATTGTGCAAAAGAGGTGGAAGAAGGAGCCAAAGTATTTCAGAACTAGAGTCAGCTGGATTTAGCAACAGATGGGAGAGGGAAAAGGAGAGGAGGGGAGAGAGGGAGAGGGAAAGAGGGAGAGAGGGAGAGAGAAAAGAGGGAGGAGGAAAGTATGACTCTGAGCTCTGAGTGCCTGGATGAGAGACCAGGAAAATGCCAGTGGATTTCAGAGACACGGTTGGTTGGGTAGAAGGGCTTGGTGGGGAGAAAGAAAAAGGACCAGTTTTAGGGCCTGGACTTTGCCATTTTAGGTGCTTTGCTGACTGATTCATTGGGGTGGTCGGACTAAGGGAAGGTATTTTTTATCTGCACATGTGGGTGGAGACACCTGACCTGGGGCTTAAAGGAAGGACTTGGTGGGAGGAAGGAAAGGGCGCACAGGGCGGTGATGTGGGATGGCGGCTCAGGCAGAGGTGCGCCCTGGGAGGGAGGACAGCGAGGGGGAGGCGAGAAGACAAAAGACAGAGACTGAAACGGGTGGAAGGGATGGGGAGAAAGAGGGCCCAGGGTGGAGAACCTTGTTCTGCCCGGGGCCGTTTGGATGTTTATAACATCACTGGAGAGCCGTGCACAATTATCATGTTTAGCAGGCTGAATATTAGCCTGCTAAATTTGGTCACACATTTAATGAACTCCCTCGTAATGCCTTGGCAGGGCCAGACCCAGTGATTTCTCAGGCCTTCTGTGGCCTGAGGGCCAGACGCCCTCCACCCCTGAAATAGGCCCTTGGCATCTTCTACAATTACATTTTATAAAAACAGGAAAAATAGTGCCGGGAAGCTGATGATGAAAACCTGTGCCGGTGCCCCCGAGTCTCCCCGTCACCCTCTCTCTCTGGGCCCCCACGTGCAACTCCTCCGGCTGCCCCCCTATTTCTAAAGCGGCTGAGTGGCTTCCTCTGTCTTCCTATACTGATGTCATAGGTAGCATGTCGACATTGTATAGATTATATGACTTAGCCACAGGCGGCCTGGGCTCTCCACGGCTCTCCCGGCTCCCCCTGCTCCCCCTGCTCCCACTCCAACAGAGTTCCAGCACAAACGTCAGGGCAGAACTTACGCCGTTATGGGCTAAACAGCTCAGCAATCACTTAGGAGTATGTTCTTTTCGCTGAATTAGTAATAGCGTTGCGTTATCATTTGCTAGGTTTTATGTATTCATTCTGGAGTCTTCTCACTTTTCAACACCCTCTATGCCACAGTTACTTCAGTGAATTTTAAAATCAAACTGAAATGTTCAAAATGCAGTCACTGGTTTTGCCAGGACATAGTTTTAGTGTTGGAGCCTGGGCTAGAGGCACCGTGTGGGCTGAGGAGGAGGGGTGTCTGGCCAGGCTGGGCTATTTTTTTTAATAAAGTATATTTTATTGGTTTTTTACAGAGAGGCAGGCAGAGAGATAGAGAGCTAGAAACATCGATGAGAGAGAAACATGGACCGGCTGCCTCCTGCACATCCCCCACCGGGGATGTGCCCGCAACCAAGGCACATGCCCTTGACTGGAATAGAACCCGGGACCTTGCAGTCCGCAGGCCGATGCTCTATCCGCTGAGCCACACCGGTTTCGGAAGGCTTGGCTATTTTTAGATGCCCCGGGGGCCTCGAAAGGAAGCCTTGTGCCAGGAAGGCATTCGCGGAGGACAGCGAGGCAGCTTCCTGGCTGCGTCACCGCGCCATCCCGGAGGGCGGCCGCTTGCTTCAGGAGGTTCCTCTGGTGGAAACCCCCTGCGGGGACCGCTCTGGCTGCCGAGGGGGACCGGCTCCCGGACACCTGCTTGGGGTCGCCATGCCCTCAGCTTGCGAAATCGTCCACAGTGCCCCCACGACTGGCTGGTCTGCATGTAAGGTCAGCTGGCTCCTTTCAGGAACTTGTGGCGCCCCCATGGGGCAATTCCACGGTGAAACCGGGACGTTTCAGTGCCGGAGCCAAGAGCGGTCTGTGGGGAGAGCACGGCCGTCGTGGAGGGGGGCTGGGCAGGGGCCTCCCACGCCGCCTCAGTGGCTCCCAGGCCCCCTGTGCCCACACTGTGGTGGCCGCTCTCGTGCCCCTGGGACAGAGCCGGCTTCGCTGATGCTGCCTTAGGGACAGCCACCAGGCCTGAGGTTTTCAACTCTGTTTCTTTCACTTCCCAAAGGCTCAGCGGAGGAGGAGCCCTCGGAAGCAGCCCCGCCGCGTCCCCGAGGGGAGGCCCCGCCGGCCTCCGAGAAGCCCCCGCCGCGGGCAGAGGCCCCCACGGAGCCGTCGCTTCCGGAGCTGACGCCCCCGCCCCCGCCGCCGAGGCCCAGCGCGCCCCCGCCTCCCGAGCACCCTGGACAACGGCCCGTTCTGCCCCAGAGACCCCAAAAGCCGCTGCCCTGGCCGGCGTGGCCCGGCTGGCTGGGCCTGCCCTCCTTGCCCGGCTCCACGGGGGTCATGATGGAGACGGGAGAGGCTGGGCCTCCGGGGAGGACGGGCGTGTCAGGGAGAGGCCTGAATGGCCAGGCGGGGCAGGCGCCCGTCCCCAGCACCGAAGGCTTCGCGGGAGCTCCAGGTAAGGCTCCCGGGGGCCAGCACGTGTGAGCTGCAGAGGGTGGACTGCATGGAGGGGCCGTCTGAGCCTCCGGGGCCTGCTGCAGGGGCTTGTGGGTTCAGGCTATAAGCTCTAAAAGGGAGCTGAGGTCCTGAGGGGCCCGTGCATGCTAATCCAGCCCCCAGAGCCTGGGGCACCCCGGGATAGTGCAATAAATTACTTAGAGTTGTCCCCTGGGCTGGAACCCAGGCCAGGGGAAGCTCCTTGATCTTCCCAGCAGGAAGTGAACCTGGGAAACCAGATGTGCACCGGGAGCTTACGTAGCAGAGACAGCCTGCCTCAGAGCGGGTGAGGGTGAGCCGGAGAGTTCTGGCCCAGCTGTCACCACCAGCCTGGCCCTGGGCCGGCCCCTGACCCGAGGGTGGTGATAGGACCCAGGGAGTGTGTGAGGACAGGGAAGAAAGTCTAGTTCAGCGCGTGTGCGCGTAGTGAGTGCTCCGTGTGAGTGTCAGCACCACTGGGGGCGGGGTCCCCTGCTAACTGGTGAAGGCAGAGCGCGCACAGCTGTGGGATCCCCCCACGTGCCTGACTGAACCAGGCAGTCCATTTCTCACAGCTCCCGGGCAGCTCCGTGATGTTATTAGTCCTGTTTACAGATGAGGACGCTGAGGCGCTGGGCTATGACTTGTAAACAGATGTTTTCTGAGCAGTTAGTTTCACTGTCGGGGCTGCTTATGCTCTGTAGAGCTGTTGTCTGTCCATCACGCAGTCCTTTTCCACCCACCCATGTGACAAACACTGCTTCCAGCCCCGCTGGAGGGAAGCCGTGCACAGACAACGCTCCTGGGGGCCTAACAGGTTCTCTGGCACGTGTGGGTGCTCAGTCTGGGCTTCTCCTCCCTGGCTGAGAAGCCCCAGCGCCTCACCTTCCTCCCTCGGCCAGCTCACCCTCAGGGCCTTCTTCCCTGCCCAGGGCGAAGGGGGCTAGTGAGGAGGCAGGTGGGGGGAGGAGGGCTATGTGCATCTGTTTCTACGAAGGAGGCATAGAGCAAGGGCACCACTCCAAGCCAAAGTAGTGTGAGGAGCAGTGAGAAGGCTCTGAAAACCAGCTGTGTGGGATGTTGTTTGACGTTCCGTTCCCATTTTGTCTTCCAGGATACCCCAAGTCACCGCCTGCAGCCTCCCCAGGTGCGTCTGCCAGGAGACGTGGGCAGGCGGCCAGTCCTCTGTGGCAGCCTCTGCCCTGCGTGTCCTCCCCGCTTCGGGCTGTGAGTGTGGGTGGAGACGGGGCCCGGCCGTCCTCCGGCCAGCTGTGGGCAGGGCCTGGCTGACTGCCCTGGGCTGAGCCCTGCAAGCTGTGCTCCCCAGAGCGGGTCAGAGGCAGGCCAACAGGAATTCTCCCTCATGCGTGCACCCAGCTGTGGAGTTCCCCGGAGGTCCACCCAGCTGGTGTGGCCCTGACCAGCTCCCTGGGGTCCAGGTGTTGTTAGTTCTTCCATGAGTAAGCAGCTCCCTAGACTATTCCCATTATCTACTCCCTCCCTCCACCCCCCCAATGAGGCACAACACAGCATCAGTTTGCTCTGAGAAATTCTCAGTCAGCCTCAGTTCTCTCTCACAGTGTGGCACACATGGGCTCACACACACACACACACACACACACACACACACACACAGCGTCTAACGCACGGGCTCACACATGAACATTCCCAGCCAGTGCCTGTCCCACAGCCCATCTGCCTGCCTGGCTCTCGGAGGGCATGTCCCCGGCCTTTGCTCTATCGATTGAAGGCAAAGCAAAGCAGGAAGGCTGCCTCCCGAGACAGGCACCCGGGCCTCGTCTTCCAGGCCCCCCCCACCTGCCTGCGAACACCCGTCCTCTCTGTTCCAGGGGTTCCAGCGCCCTTCCTGGTGTCTTTCTCCGTGGGGCTCACCCAGAAGCCTTTCCCCAGCCACGGGGGTGTTGTCCTCTTTAACAAAGTGCTGGTCAACGACGGGGACGTGTACGACCCCAGCACCGGTACGTCTGGGGGGGCTGTGTGGGGCCTGGGGGGGGGGGGCTGTTCTGGCAGAGATGCCCCGCAGCTGTGAGCCCTGCAGGGGCAGCTGGCAGTGTGGCTGCTCCCCACTGCGGGCTGTGAGGGGGCTCCACGCTGCAGGGCGGTGGGTGTGCAGTGACATTTCCCAGCCATGATGTCAGCATACCAGCCCTCGCCTGGGAGTGTTCATGTGACTGCAGATAGCTAGAGGCTCTCCCAGTCTGTGGGCGTCACACCCTGGGGGCAGGCAGCGGAGTCCGCCCCGCCCCGCCCGCAGCTGGTGGTTCATGATGAGCAGAGCCAGGGAGGACGGAGGGTGGCTCTGTGGTGGGGTCTCCTGCTCTGAAACCACTTCAGCTGCGGGTCCGCCTGTGCCGTCTCCAGCCCACGAGCACAGTGGGGTTCAGACGGTGAGGCTGACTCTGAGTTGGCTTGGGACACTTTCAATGGAGAAAGCTTCCAAGAGGCAGCCCGGACCTGGGTGGCTGTTGTTCACTGTATCTTAGGTGGTGGGGGGAGCAGGCCCAGGCTGGGCCTTGGCCCCGGGCCTTCCCCAAGCCCGGGCTGCGCCCTGAGGCCAGTAATAGGACTGAGCTCTCCCCTAGCAAGGCCAGATGGTTCTCTGACTGCGCAGGGCACGAAGGGGCAGCTGGGTGTCGGTGAGGTGTAGTAATCATACCCAGGGCTGGAGGGTCTGCAGTATTTGTCCTCTTGTGGATGTGTCAAGCATTCCACGGTGGGTTTTGCAGAGCGGCCTGGGTCGGTGGTGAAGAGCGATGCCCGTCATCGGGTGGGTGGAGGTGCACGGACCGAAAGCCTGTTGGAGAGCAATGGGTGATGGCCCGTGAACACGTGTCCGCCTTCTTCCTCCCAGGGATCTTCACGGCTCCGTTCGATGGGCGCTACCTCATCACGGCCACGCTCACTCCCGAGAGGGACACGTACGTGGAAGCGGTCCTGTCGGTGTCCAACGCCAGCGTGGCGCAGCTGCACACAGCTGGCTACCGCAGAGAATTCCTGGAACACCACCGGCCCCAGGGGGCCCTGCACACCTGTGGCGGCCCCGGGGCGTTCCACCTCATCGTGCACCTCAAGGCGGGAGATGGCGTCAACATCGTGGTGACTGGGGGCAGGCTGGCTCACACGGACTTTGACGAAATGTACTCCACGTTTAGTGGGTTTTTCTTATATCCTTTCCAGTCCCACCTTTAGGGCGCTGGGGAGAGGTTAAGGCGAAGGAAGCTGTAAGAACCGGAAAGCTTTAATATTATTCACGTTATGTATGTAACTGGAGCACTGGTCTAGTATTCTGTCGACGTCCCACCACCTCTCTCAAGATAACGGCCTTTTCTGGCTTTGGAGGCCACGGACACACCTTAGAGCTCCCCAGCAGGCAGCGAGGACTAACTCTTGTCATGCCCACGGGCTGGGAGTTGGGACACGCCCTTACCTCTGAGCCAGCTCTGGCTTTGCCCCCAGGGGCCGGAGCTGGGCCTACAAGGTGCCGCCCTGGGCGAGGCAGTGGGAGCCGGTCCTGCTGATGGAGGAGGAGATGCTGCAGGATGCAGGTCTGAGGTGGAGGGCTGGCCAGACGGACACCTGTGGCCACTGTCTTTACCAGAGCGTCTGTTTATACTGCATGCAGGAAAGAAGTTTAACACTGAAGTGGCACGTGTCGCCACGAGTCCTGGGCCCACAGCCTGCTCCCCCGGGCCTCTGCCCAGCTGTGAAGGAATCCAGGAGACTGTTGCGAGCTCGTTGGGCTCCTTGAATGACATGTACAATTTAAGTGCAAAGACAGGGAGTGTCAATAAAGATGTAAAACCACTAAACCACTTCAAGTTACTTACAGCCGGTGCCTTGTGGATTTAGAGTTGTTGCTAAAAAAGCAAACTGTAGAAAGACGTTGACTTTTTTTTTTTTTTTTACGGCTATAGAAAGTAAGCTTGAATAAATTAATCTCAACCATTCAACTCCCTCCTCGGCATCCATGATGTACACTCGGTTCCTCTTTGCTTATAAAAACAGGATGTGCCGGGAGGTTAAGGGGGCTCCCCCAGGGCGTGCTGAGAACTGACCTCTAATTAGCAGCTGTGCCAGTTAAATGAGATCGCGCCCTGCCCTCATCACTCAGATGGGGCTTTAAACTCGGTTCCCAGGCAACAAGAGGCCCAACATAAAGCTGAGATCATCCGAGAGAAGCAGGTGCTTTCCCCTGCAGAGCACGCTCTGTTCCAGGGAAGCCCAGCACGTTACTCCCTTCCCTGCAGCCACAGAAACTGCGAGGCACACCAGGCGCTGCTCCAGGCGGTCTCTGCTCATCAGGTCGGTCAGATCTGTTGGGGAGGCACGTCTCCTAGCACCTCAGGACCAGACAGGTTTCCTTGGACTGAATCGAGCCACCAGATGCTGTGATGCTGTAACAATTGTAAAAATTCCAAGACGGCTTGCCAGTGAGATCACAGGGTGGCCACTGGCCGCTGAGAGGAGCCTTCTTTCTCACCCCACCCCCGGGCAAGGGAGGAGTGGCCAGGAGCCTGAAGGTTTGCTGTTTTAGTATTTTAAAGTAAGTCTGGGGGTCTCTGTCGAGGAGGGTGGGGGAGAGTGGCATTCTCACCCCATTTCTCCAGCTGGGAGACTGGCTAACGGTGGCTGTCAGAGTATCAATGGCTTTCTGGAAATGACTCATGGAAAAAACCCAGTGCCATAGAGCATTTTCAGGAAGATCCAGTTGGCATGCATGCATGCTTTTGCCCTCTCGCCCTCACACCCCTTGTAAACACCTTAACTCGGTGCCAAAGGGAGTTAGTGCATAATAATTAGAAACACAGGGACCACAGATGGTTCTCTAGAGCACCAAGTAATACTTGGTCCTCCTCTCCCAGTGCATTCCAACTCATTTACTGGAGGGGGGGTGGGAAAATGAATTTCGGTTTCGTGTATCCACAATGAGCAAAGTACACTAAGTCTAACTATAGCAGGTCCTGCGTTCACTCAGGATGAAGTCGGAGGAAAGCTGAGTCACAGTCCACTTAGGAGATAATCTTTCAAGAGGGTATGACCAAGAGAGAGCACACTGTCACTGAGCTGGAGGCTGCAGGAGCTGTGGGCAGCCCCTTCCTAGAAAGCAGCAGCCCTATGCCTGTGAGGGAGACACAGGAACAAGCCCAGGACCAAGCAGCGCAGGGTTACAACTTGCAAAATAAAGGAGTTGTTGCTGAGAAAAGGACAGAGCACTTCCTAAGCTAAGAGTGACAGGACCGAGACATTCTCTCCCCCCACGTGAACTATTACAAGTGGCCAGATGACTGCAAACAATAAAATGATCCCAGCAATAAAGAATGCAAATCAATGTAAATTGCACTTGAAATTATTTCTGTTAGCACATTAATCTAGCATTCTCAGTGACCCTATCATCTCTCCAACTGTTTTCCACAATTGATTTATAGTTTGAAAGGATAGAGGTATTTGTGATCATAGACACACCAAGTCCAAGCTTGTATATTTGAAACATGGCTTTGCATATATCCACATACACTTTCTAAACATACATACGTGTCTGTTTAGAAAGTGTATGTGGATATATGCAAAGGATATGCGCAAACTTTAAGGCAAGCATGTCAAGCTCGGGGCTGGCGGGAGAGGCATGAGAAAAGGAGAGAGGGCAAAAACATGCGTGTGCGCCAGCTGGATTTCCCTAGTCTGACTTGCTCTAAGGGGTGCAGAGTGCAGCAGAAGAAAGCTGCATGAGACAGGCCTCCTGAGAGCGAGTTAGGACCCGGCTGCTCCTCCCTGAAGAGCTGGAAGCCATTCCCTCCATAATCACCCCGCCCCCGCCCCCGCCCCTGCCTGAGCTCTTCCTTTCTCCCCACAAAGAACACCCCCACCCCACAGCCCCAGTTCCCTTTCCCGACCTCTCATCCAACCATCCTGGCATGGCAAAGCAGCATGAAATGACTGCTTTCCACATGGAAGGAGGCCTTTTTGAGATTCAACATGTCCAGCACATGCTGCATCTGGCAGGGTCCAGCGATCTGAAGGGATAAAAAGATGCTCATTTAAATAACACGTGGGATGTGGCTTTTGATCCAAGTTCACTGACTCTCCTAAGTCGATGAAAACATCAGGATTGCTAATTGGTATTCACCCTGAGGAAGGGTTAGTGGAAGGTGGGGTCCTGTGAGAGGGACTCCAGGGGAACCTGAAGGACTGAGGGGTGGAATGGAAACACAGCTTCGAGGATTCCAGTGAGCATACTCCAGAAATCACATATGGATGAGTGAATCATTCCCTGGCACAACCTACAAAGCAAGAGGTTAGTTCCTGAGGGTGTAGCCTCACTTTTGGAGTCAGGTTTTATAAAAATAAGCACCAAAAAGAAGTCCTTTCTGTAGACAAATTTAAGAGTCAGCAAAGATTAAAATGCTAATTTATGGAAATTAACAATTTCTGGCAAGAGTACAGAGAAGATGGTTTAGATGTCCTCTGAAGGAAAGAGTCCAACGCATTCAGTTTATGTTTGTTTATTGTAACATTTTGATTTGAACATCAAACACTGCACCAAAATAGGAACCATTTATCTTAAGACAATGGTCTTTGCCACAACTAAGAGTACTGGACTGATGCTTACAATTTCTGACAACTTAAAACTTATTAGTGACACTGCTGTCTAAAAATCAAATACCTCATCAGAATATAGTTATTAAATTAAAAGAACAAAGTTTCCCCCTCCCTTCTTACCTTCAAACCAGAAACATAGTTTTCATCTGGAAAGAGCACTTACTTGAAACAAAAACTCAATTTTTAACTAGCTACATTATACCCAGAATGCTCTAAAACGGGTAAACAAGGTTTCCTAGAGTAAGCATGATGATCTCGAAAAGTTGTTAAAATTCCCTGGAAAAGTCTGTTTCACCAAGTTGGAAAGAGGAAGAGGTGACTTCTCGCCTGTCTGAAAAGGCCTTGGCTGCACCTTGAGTGCACCCTGGGGAAGGGCCGTGTGCAGTCTGGGGGCACAAGGACTCCCGGTCATTTTCCAGCTTTCTCCCTGTGACTGTTAGCAGCTTTCACGTTAGGACATCACAGTAGTAAGTTTTCCTTTTTCCAGTTGAAAACTATGCAGATGTGTTAAGCACAGCAAACACAGCACACACGCTACACAGGCATGCTGTGGGCACACGCGCACTTCCTCACGCCTGGAAGGTGCCGACGCCGATGCCACAGCCGCACGAGCTTCACCACACGGACATCGACGCAGATGCTAACGTCAGGCTGAGCTGGAAAGAGGGAAGGGGCCATGGCCGTTTCGCCAGTGAAGCAACCGCGAGAATGACTTAAAAGAGCCCGATCTGCCTGCAATCTCCCCGGGATACCATCCACCACCAAAAGCAGCGCGAGGTTGATGATTCTTCATTCACTCACCATCGTAAGGGTCTGTGTACAAACACACTGAGGGCATCTCTCTTTCACAGAAAGAATACATGTTATTTGTACCAAATGGCAATGGGTTTCCAGCACAAACTTAATACTTTTGCCACACCATAGTAATAGCAACCATCTACTTTTCAGCAAGAGGGACTCCTTTAAATAAGGAAAAAGGTATGTTAATTAGTGTATGTACCCACTGGATCAGTCTACAGCAAGGAAATGACAGTATAGTGCTTACAGACACTCGGACAAAGGGATCAGCCACCCTCAGCACAGAACTGGGAGACCTGTGTTCCTAGGGTGAACCTTCTAGATAGGCCCATGTGTCCAGAGAAAGAAACTGTCTAGTCAAAAACTCTCTATAAAAGATAAATATTGATATTTCATACTGCACATAGCAAAGGCTCAGGTCAAGCACATAAAGTTCTTCTAAAGCAAACACAGTCGAGGACACACTGACAGCATCTACAGATCAAGTAACGGCCACTCTATCAGGAATTTAATTCACTAACTGGGAAGAACTTTATAAAAGCATTACCTAGTTTCCCTACCTACTGTACATGAAGGAACTTATTGAACAATTAGACCTTGACCTGCTGAGGGCGGAAAAGTGTGCACTGGAGGAAGAGTGTGCTGTTTCCCCTCTGGGAACATGTGTCTCCAGGTGCTGCCACTGAGAACCGCACTCAAGGGCCTTCACCATTGTCTCTGCATCCAAATGCACCAGGAAAAATGGCTGAGCTACATCAGGGACTTCCAGCTCTCCAATCTGGACAAATAACCACCCCATTCTCCATCTTCACATCAGCATTATTTTGGGTGGAGTAAACAAAAACAAGGAGAGCCCCCTAATACAAGAACAGGTGGAAATGGAAACCATCCTGAGCGGGGTGGTGCCTGGACCTGCAGTTCCCACTCTGCTCTGGAACTCGGCTCACTGCTTTCTCACCAAGAGGGCTAAGTGGTCATTTTGGTCCCCTGAAAGCTTCCTCTCCGACAGTTCTGCTGATTTTAGTACTGAGTTGATTGTCAACACCCAACCTGACTTCTCCAGGCTCTCAGCTTATAGGACAGAAGCCTTCCCCGGTGCTGTATGCTTGGACTCTGACCTGAGCTCATTACAACCAGGCTGAGAAACGAGGGGCAGGCGGAACGGAGAGAAAAACCCTTCCCAGGAGCCACAGTAAGTGCACATCTGCATTTCCAAGGCCTTCCTGAAAACAGAGCTGTTCTTTGCTGCTTAACCAACATTCACTATTATTCCTATTCTTACAGACATAACATATATCTTGCAAAACTTTCTTCTTGCGAGGTTCACAAGTGAAAAGGTGGCTTTTCCTCCCCAGGAGCCCGTGTCTGTGGGGTGGGATGAGTGGCCCCAGCAGCGTCTCCTTTCAGGGTAGCAGGGAAGGATGAACCCACAAAAGGAACATGAGCAAGCGGTTTGAGCCAACATCATTAATGGGACCTGAAGCAGTTTGGTGGACCCAGATCCCCTTAGCAAAGCCCTGGTTTTACAGAAAAATACTTCCAACTGCCCAGTGGAAATTATAACACTTTACTTTGTGCAATATTTTGGTCCACTCTTAGTTAGCTTCTTTTTAAATTATGCAGTTAAAGGAGCACCCAGCACACAACCTGACACAGAGTGTGCGTGAGAACCGACCAGGGACAGAAGCCTAGGTCTTTGACCTCCGGTCCAAGCTGCCCTCAATTCTGCTGGGGCACTGAGCTGTGACACTGCCAAGCCAGGAGAGTGAAGGAGAGGGCAGTTCCTGATCCACAGCCTCTCCTTGTCCCTGCTGGTGCCCAGCTGTCAGCAGAGGTCTTGCCCCACACCTGTGGCTGAGAGGGGATCCCAGTGTCCTCTGTCCAGCAGAAGTGCCGGTCACCTTCCCTAACTGCAAGACGAGAGACCAAGGACCTCCCAGAGGGGCCGCCTCAGGCCAGGTCGTCCAGGTCCACTTTGGGGATTGGGTCCCGCCAGTAGCAGAAGGAGCTGAACTCTGGGCACGGAAAGGCAGAATTCTGTTCCTTGTTGAGCAGGGGGAACACATGCTCCACGAGCTCGCTCAGTCTGTGATACCTGGAAGGGGTTGGAGAAGAAAAGCACAGACTCTTACTGTGAAGCTGATCTGAGAGCACAATACTACAGGCTGTAAAGCTAGTTACTCAGGTTCCTCAGATAGGTAGGATCGGAGACTGGTCTCCATCCCTTCCCTGGGCACAAAGAGAATAGGCACCACAAATAGAGGGGAAAATACCCAGGCCATGAGGAAAGCCTCCAAAGGCAGTGATAATTCTGATACTCCGAGCGTGGCCTGATCCTTAGCATCTGTCTGTCACCCTGGCTGCAGGGTGCGAGGCTGAGAAATGGGAACACACTTACGATGACTTGTTTCCTTTGGTCCTTTCTTGTATTAATTCACCCTTGGGGTTCACAGTGAATATTCTGCAGTCTGGAACTCCAACTTGTATGTAAGCGTAAACGTCCTGAAGAAGAAAATATCAGGAGGGTGATTAGAGGGAGAAGAAATTAGGCACTGCTTCTCCACTTCCTCGTGAGGCAGAATTGCACAAACAAAAGACCGTCTACGGAAAACATGTATAACTGGGCACCATGTAGCTTTGCCACTGAAACTGAGCTTTGGACAAATCCAAACAAAAAGTGGAGCCAAGCCCAGAGGGTGCTGGGATATTCAGAAAATGTGGGCGCCAAGGAGACGCCAGGGGCACCGTGGAGCAAGAGGAGCCCCACTGCCCACCAGCGGCCAGGAAGCAGCCCCTTCTGCAGGCCCGAGGGGTCTGAGGGCCCCTCTGAGTGGAGGCAGGAAGTGTCAGTTAAGGATGAGCACTCATGCCATGGCTCTGGGGTGGATCTAAGGACAAGGCTTAACCACCTGAGGAAATAGGAACTGAAGCCACAGAAACAGAGAAAGTGCCCTTCATCGCATATTAAATTCTGGGGCAGATCTCCTCTTCCAGGATCTCCCCAATTACTCTAAGAATTTGGAATAAAGTGAAAACCTATTTAACAGAATAAACATGCATTTGCCTATAAAATTCACTTGAGAATTACGACACAGCTAACACCTAAAAAGTATACTCCCCTCAATCTTACCCCCCATCAGAATGTGCAGCCCAAAGGAGACACTTACATTCGGACGGTTTCCAAAGGCAGCATAGAAGGGCTGCTTACATGGGGCAAACAGATTCTTGATATCATTTAGACACTCAATTTTGAATTTCTCTGGTTTCTTTTCTATCACTTCCCTAGGGGGGAAGAATTCAAAAGTCACCAAATTCAAAATGGTAGTATTTCCTGGTGTACGGTACTGAAAAATTTTAGTGTGCACGACCACCCATTTTAAAAAAAGTCCTTTGTAATGAGTTTCTTTTTTCTTCTCTGCCAGTCAACCTGATAACTAAGAAAATTTACTGGGGTTTGGGGAAAGAGAAAATGGCTGATCCTATAACTTGACTTTCCTTGTCCATGCTTGAAATAGGCCAGGCGAGCTGTGACTTAGAATGCTATGGGGGAGCCCTGGCTGGTGTGGCTCACTGGTTGAGCACTGTCCTGTGCACCAATAGGTCACTGGTTTGATTCCAGGTCAGGGCACATCCCTAAGTTTCGGATTTGATTCCAGATAGGCTCGAATACGGGAGGCAGCCTATCAATGTTTCTCTCTCTCCCATCTTCTTTCTCTAGAATCAATAATTTTTTTTTTTTTAAAGAATGCTATGGGGAAGCCAAAGAACTATTACAAGCTCTGAAACAGATACAATCCCTTTCAACAAGCCTGACACCCATCTTCACACAGTCCACTCATGCCCCAGCCCCCCTCCCACACACTCAGAGGGGCTGCCTGCGGGCAATTACCTGTGGAAGGCAGAGAACAAGCTGCTGGGGGAAAGCATCAGAGGGCCCCGGGGCAAGATCGTGCCCTTGTCGTTGACCCAGTGCAGGTAGCCACGGGTCATGTCGGCCATGCCAATGGCGCGAGCAGAGCAGTACAGAAACTTGTAGCCATTCCTGAAAGAGAATATGTCTTATTAGCCCATTGTGCTTTGGGTAAAGGTGGAAAAAACCCCACACACACTTTTCTTGTAAAAATCCAAGTAGAGATCCTCCCATTTATTGTGAAAATTAAACTATTGAATTTAACAGGAAAATAGGATTATAAAGATTTCACATTTCAATGGAAAACACCATGGGGGGAGAGGGGGATAAAAGTACTATTATATGCAACTAGGAATTATGCTAAGTTTACAAGTTCTGATGTACATTCATAATCTAGTCCAATGAAAGGCAGATTACAGAACAAAAATATTAGAATATATTTAAATGACCTGCTATAAATGAAACACACAAAGTATCTTATTTATAAAGACAATTTGCAGAAGGCAAGCCATTATATAGCCAAGGAACAAAATTATACTTTGGGGGCTGACATAATTTTCATATTAGGGCATCCTCAACTAATGTTTAAGACTTTAATTTTTCAAGTCAATTTAACTCATATGTATCAGGGTCCCCTGAAGGCCACAGCACTGTTTGTTCTCTGTGGCACTGGCACAGAAGACCCCAGGTGTGAAACGTTGCCCCCGTGCATGCATGACATCCTCAAAGAAAATTTAAAAGTAACCAAGTACCCAATTAATAAACCAAAACTGAAAATCAGCTCGTTACATTACAGCTAAAAACCCAATTATAGCTGTAAGTATAAATACAGTATAGCGCTGTGAGAACGAGATGATAGATGTTGGCTGCCACTTTCCTTTGTGTGAGGCTACAGGAAAGGAGTGGGAAAGAAGAGTGGGCATAGCTGGGTCATGAACACACGTGATTTCCATGTACACTATTTTTCAATAGTTCTTAAAGCAAAATTCTAGAGCACATTAGCAGGTGGGACAGGAGACCTACTCGTTGATGGCATGGTAGAGCTTTGCAATACCCTGATGAGTCCAGTCTTTACCCAGCTGTGGAAGAATCTGTCCCAGAGCATCAGACCTAAGAGGGTAAAAGCAGGAAAAGGTAGTGGGAATCAAGAATATAAAAGCCAAGTGTTTTCCTTTTTAGTTATATACCAGCTGCCAAAAAGCACTGGGTAGAAGGGCAAGACAACTGACAGGGCAATTTACAGTGAGGCAGTCTCCTGCAAATACACTCCTGAGGAGTTTCTGAAAATAGATCAGACATGAGAACCAGCTGTTCGTTCTCAGAGAAAATTTACAACTATAACCTTTTTCTCTTTCTTAATCTCAATAGTTCCTCAGATTTTTTAATGCCAAAATTTAGAAACTAAATAACTAAATATTCCCAATTGTTATGTTTGACATTACATTTGTATGGATCCACCCACCCCTCCATCCATCTGTGGACTGCACTCAGGATGTCTCCGTGTATACACAGTTTAAAAATCTTCCTGATGATGGCTGAGAGCTGGGTGCTTGCTGAGGAAACCTGCCCCCCGCTCCGGCCCACTGCACACTGCCTGACCTGCCGCCCCCCACAAGCTCCTTCTTACTTGGTTATTGTTCCATCTATATCGGAAATGACGATCTTGTCATTCCAGTTCCACAAGTAAATGGTCCCTGCACAGCGGCAGGTGCCTTGATACTGGGTTGTAATACTAAACACGACATCATTTGGACCATCTTGGAGCTTCAGTTTTGCCTTTTAAAAAAGTAGACAAATAAAGAAAATCACAGAGGCAGAATTATAAAAACTGATGCAATTACATATATCAAAAAGTCACATTTTCCAATAATTGGTAGTCACTGAAAAGGAACCTAATCTCCATAAGGTGTATGGGAAGGAATACATTAACAAGATAATTGAATATTTAAAAATTCAGCTGAAAACAGTTTGGCACAGAGTCTGCATGTTTACCAAACAGCATGGCTCACTCAATGAGCTGGGCTTAGGGGGCCACTGCCTGAACAGTGTTTGGGGTTCCAAGAAACTTCTCATCTCCCAAACAAAAAATCACCTCTCTGCTCCTTCTCCATATCTAAGACTGGGAGCACAGCAAAACCATTTCACACTGAAAACAGGTGAAAGCAGGGAGTAAAAAGAAACAGGAAAGGGGACATTGTGTCTAAATAGGAAAACATTATTTCTCTGTTGTTGTGGCTCTCGAGACAGTGGGTGACCCAGTGATGAGAGAGCTGTTCAAGATTCATGGGGAAACAAGGTAAAAACACAGATTTCTCAGCTCACTCCCAGAAACTGAGGTAGGAGAGTCAGGGGTGGATCTAACTGTGATCCTGGTGTTCCCTGGAGGTGGACATTGATGTGAGCATTTATATGTAAGCATTTATATATAAGCATCTATACAAACACACAGTGTTGTGTGTGTGAGGCTTGTGATCAAATGGACAGAAGAGGAAGGAGGTCAGCTTGAACAGTTACTAAGATAATTATCTGACTAGATTCACATGGATCACACACTACTCACGATCTGGTCTGAGGAGAGGCGGAGAGACTTCTTATAGGAGGTGGTGCTGCTGTGGCTCGGGGCCTCCGTGGGGATGGGCTCCATTTTGACAGCTTCGTGAAGCTCCTGCGACCCCTCGTCGCTGGATGAGTCATCCTCTGCTGGCCTATTCAACATTAACCCCGTTACTAGAGAGACAGCGGACTGTTTTATTCGTAAGAGCTTTTCATTTAGGATCAAAAGAAAGAGATCCTAAATCTATTCTAGAAATGGAAACAGTTTTTCCTTCTGCCTCTTTCCCACATCCTGCTCCCATGCCTACATATTCGTTTCATGAAGTGATAAAGCCACCTTCCTCCTCCCTCTCATGATTGGCCAGAGATTACTTTCTAGCTATCACTGGGCATTTTTGCTGTGAACAGTGAATGCTACTTGTAAAAGTAGATAGGTATATTTCAAAAAGTACAAAAAAGAAAAGAAAAGAACATATACTTGCTTATGAAGATTTAAAAAACTAACAAGAAAGATTTCGTAAATACTGTTTAACCGAATGGGATAAAGAGTAAGAGTATACTGTCACACAGACTACTGAACTAAAGAGTTAGGAAATAGAAGAAAGAAGCTGACTGGAGAAAGTATACCGATGGCAGAAAGAAGGGGTATATGGTGGCACTTCCTCTAAGGGCAAGCCAATGTGAATGTCGAAAGGGGTGCTACTTCTTCCAAGAAATGAAAGAAAGCCACAATCTCTGAGATTCTCTCTCTTTTTTAAAAAATATTTTATTAAAAAAAAAATAAATATATATATATATATATATATATATATATATATATATATATATATTTTTTTTTTTTTTTTTTTTTACAGAGACGAAGGGAGAGGGATAGTTAGAAACATCGGTAAGAGAGAAACATCGATCAGCTGCCTCTTGCACACCCCCTACTGGGGATGTGCCAGCAACCAAGGTACATGCCCTTGACCAGAATCGAACCCGGGACCCTTCAGTCCACAGGCTGACGCTCCATCCACTGAGCCAAACCAATTAGGGCTGAGATTCTCTTTTCTATCTCCCTTTTGTGCACTACAGGAAGCCATGGAGCAGAGGCACCATGGACAGCCCATCTTAGGACTCCTCAATACTCCCCCTTCCCAAAGGCCTACGTTTATTTCATAGGCATCCGATTCCATGGTTCCAGGATGGAGGAGCAAGGTATTTGGGAAACAGTGACGAGCTACTTACTTTCCTAAATGAGTAATATATATGTAGTTTAAATTCTTGCTCAAGGATATGATCACCGATTTTAGAGAGAGGAAAAGGAGAAGGAAAAGGAGGGAGATAGGGATAGGGATAGGGATAAGGAGAGGGAGAACAGGAGAGGGAGAGCAGGAGAGGGAGAGGGAGAGAGAAAGAAACATTGCTGTGAGAGAGAAACATCAATTGGCCGTGTTCTGTATGCACCGCAACTCCTCAATGGGAATCAGACCTGCCACCTTCTGGTGTATAGAACAACACTCCAACCAATTGAGCTACCCAGCCAGGGCTAACACGAACATTTTTAGAAAAGCAGAAGCTATCATTTTCTAGCTGAGTGGCACGAACAAACCACTTATTCACCTATGTCCATTGAAGAAAGATGTCTCTGACTAAAAATGAAACAAAATCGCCCAAATCAGTCTGAATGCAATAGCCAAAGCAGGGGTAGCTCAAGTGCTGTGAGCCTGGAAGAAAAATAGGGAGTCCCCACCTGCTACTGGCTGGCTCCTTCGTGCTTGATGGCAGGTCACTGGTGGGTGGCATCTCGGATTTCCCTTCCTTGGCCTCTGGCAGCTAAAAAAGCAAGATAATAACGGTCAAGTGCAGCTTTTCTCTCTACTGATAAATAAAAATTCATCAGCAGTCCTTGCCAAGAATGAGCAAAACTACTTTCTGAATCCACAACTTAAAAATACTCAAGAAAACTGACCTTCTCTAGTTTGAGCCATAGGACAAAAACCTATGAGCTATTACTATAAAGCCAGAAGAAAAATTTTAAAAGAGCACCATTTCAAGTCATAAAATATAGTACAAGTGGTCCACAGCAGAGACACTGGGATTGCAGAATAGAAGGGACTGATGCCGCCACTTCCTGTGTATGAGGGCAATAAGCTCTCGCTCTAACTAGAAGGTAAGGCAGCCAAGTGGAAAGAGCACAGGCATTAAAGCTGAACTCAAGGTCAAACCCTAGCTCTGTCCCTTCCCAGTCAAGGAATTTCACCTCTTTGTGCTCACTTTCCTTACCTATACACATGCGAACGCAAACATCTATACTTTTGGGCTGTAGTAAAGGTGAGGGGTAACATGTAAAACACCTAGCATAGTACCTGCATATAGCAACTGTTCAAAAATGATAACTATTCTTATAAATTTAATACCCCAAATGGACTTCATTGTGCTTGACAAAGTTTTTTGAAAAAACGTCAGATTCACTTCTTTTCAGCTTATGGAAAGGATACCTCCAGGCTGGTTACCTGTTTGGTCATGCTTTCTCTCTTACGCCAAAACCACCAGCGACCAGATTTCTTTGGCATCTTATCTTTGACCCAGGACTCGACTGTGGCCTGGAAACAACCAACTTAGGTTAGTCTAGCAATCTGTCAGTCACGAAGCACCCAACTACCTCCTACCACCAGCGTGCAGGAAGTGCCTAATCACAAAGTCTGAGCAACAATCTCCACATCGCTGAAACTGCTCTTGAGTTTCTAACATCAGAAAGATGGACAGTGTCTTCTCCATGGCAACCGGCTTCATGGCAGTTACGTGGTATGAGACTAAGTGGTTTCAGGCCACAGAGGAACAGCCTCCTTAGGAGCTGGCAGGTGAGCTGCTCTCACATCTCTTCCGAGCTGTGAGGACCAGTTAGGCCGATGATGTCTTCTTACAGGACAGATTCAAAGCAACCTCATGTTTCACATAAATTTATTAACCACAATTTGACCTAATCGTACTGATGTTATGCTTTGGGCAGCTACATCATCCTCTTCTTGCTGTTTCTTTCAATATTAACAAAAGGATCTTTTTTTTCATTCATTCTATGTTTAACTATTAAAAAAATCTCTGAACTTTTAAACACAATCAGAAAATGGTATAAATACCTAGTAAAAATGACAATGATGTGCCAGCTTAGGTAACTTCCTAGATTTTGGACATGAGATCATTCTGAGTAGGCACACAGAACTCTTTTGGCTCTTTTATAATATTAAATAAAACCTTGAAAAGTACCCAGTTTAGAAATATGTACATACGGAATTTTCTAAATACTATATGCTGTAGACATATGAAAAGACAACAAAGAGCAGACCAACGCACCTTAGGCAAACTCTTCTGGAATACTTGCAAGCTAAGGATCATCGGAGCAGCCAAAGCCCAGTTATAGTAACTGTAAGAAATAAAAATTATGTAAAACCATTACAAAGAATGATGAATGAGAGAGAAGAGGGTAAAGAGTGATAAAGAAAAGAGGCGAACCCAGCTGGCATGGCTCAGTGGTTGAAAGTTGACCTATGAACCAGGAGACCACTGTTCAATTCCCGGTCAGGCCACATGCCCAGGTTGAGGGCTGAATATCCAATAGGGGGCGTGTAGGAGGCAGCTTATCAATGATTCTCATTATTGAGGTTTCTCTCTCTCTGAAATCAACAAAAATTAAAAAAAAGAGGAAATATAACAAAATTCTTTATTCTTTTCTTTAAAAAGATTGTCAGCTAAGTTTTTTTTTTTTTTTTGTCAAGTGAAACTTCTCTGAACAGAGAATCAATAAAATCTACCAAAAATAACATTTTAATACTCCACTTAAGCATGAAGCTGAAGCCCTAGCCAGTATTTCTCAATGGTTAGAACATCAGCATGTGCACCAAAGGGTCTTGGGTTCGATTCCCAGTTAAGGGCATTTACCTGTTTTGCAGGTTTGATACCTGGCCCGGAGCACATGAGATGGTAACCAATCGAACTGTCTCTCTCACACTGATACCCCCCTTCCCCCCATCCCTCCTTTCCACTTTCTCTAAAAATCAAGGGAAAAAGTATGCTTAGGTGAGGATTAATCACCAAAAAAGGAGCTGAAGCTTCATTACCCATTAGCTCATTTATATAAAATGACATGTTTTATACTAAAAAAAAGATGGTAATAGTTTAAAAGAGCACTTGGAAAACAACCTTGCAAAAATTGTTAGCAATTACAAAAGTAAGAATATTTACCGGTTATATATCCGTATTACAAGGTTAGGATTGTCTATAAGTCCTGGGTTTTCTGCAAATTCATGGTAAGTTATAATATGCTCCATGAATTTTTCTGCAATGTAAAATAGTAACAATTAACTTGGATAGAGATTATGTAAATTCCCAAATGACATTATCATATTACTCTATGAACTGAAAAGACTGTAGCATAAAATAAAATGTCCTTTTTAAAAAGAACTTTTTTATATCAATTTTTTCCCCAGAACAAGAAAAAATATTTCTATCCTTTCCTTCCTTCACCACTCCTCCCCTAGCTAAAAACAAACAAACAAACAAACAAACAAACAAACAAACAAACTACCTCTGCTAAGCTCCTCATTTTTCTTGAGCAACTTTATTCTCCTCATTTTTCTTGAGCAACTTTATTAACTCTCAAGAATGAGAAGAAAGTAATTCCTTCTACCCTTTGCCAAAAAAGACCACTCACTCAGTGAACAATAAACTTTTGACAAATTCAAACTCTATTCTCATATGTAAGAGTCAGTGCTTTCCAGGAGGGAACTGGGCCCCAGTCCCACAGATATATCAACTTTACAGATGAGAAAATTGACACAGCCTGGGCTGACCCTGATACCAAGCTGAGTGGTTTGCCAATCAGCAAACAGGGCAGCCCAAGATCTTAATGTGAAGTGAGAACCTTTAAGGCACACTTCCTCATCCAAGCTATTTGTATGTAACTAGAAGCCCAGTGCACGGAATTCACGCACAAGGAAGGGGTGTGTCCCACAGCCCAGCCTATACCCTCTCCAATCTGGGACACCATGGGGGATATCCAACTGCCGGTTTAGGCTCTATAGGTTTGAGCCTAAACCAGCAGTCGGACACCCCTCTCACAATCCGGGACTGCTGGCTCCTAACTGCTTACCTGCCTGATCATCCCTAACCCATCTGCCTGCCTGATTGTCCTCTAACCACCTTTGCCTGCCTGCCTGATTACCCCTAACTGTGCCCCTGCTGGCCTGATCATCATCCCTGACCACCTCTGCCTTAGCTCCACACCCGGAACCCAGGATGCCCTCACGGCTGGCCACAGGCACCCAGGACCTGGGCTGGCCGCAGCTGCAGGGGACTGTGGGCAGGTGGCTTGGCCCACGCCACAGCCACGGGGTCACAAATGCTAGCACTGGCACCCAGGACTGTGGGTGGGTGGCTTCTCCCTCTCGGGCCGCAGTTGCAGGTGCTGGCGCCTGGGACCGCAGGCAGGCCTGGCTTTGTCAGAAAAGACGTCTGGATGGTCGCCCAGAAGACGTCGGATCTAATTAGCATATTACCCTTTTATTAGTATAGACGTCACCCATTACGAGGTTCCTTAAGTGAAGGGCTAAAGGTCTTACATTAAAAGGAGACACCTGTATAGAATAGTGAAGACCTGGGGGGAAGGTAGGGCTGGGAGAATAGGGGAAAGGGAAGGAAAACAGGAGATATCTGAAATACTATCAACAATAAAAAATACATTAAAAAATAAAAAAGGAGACACCTGTTACCTGCACAAGATGATTAAAAAATTTAGAACTCTGAAATGGCTCAATAGCCATTTAATCAAGTGATGATCAAGTTCTTTCTCAAGCGAAGACAGGGTGTGACTGCCCAGTACCTTTAGAAATTTCTCCATTCTTTACCTTTAGAAATTTCTCCATTCTCACTGAGGCCCCCACAAAGGGAGAGGGTGACGTCGGGCAAGTCCATGGCAGAATCTGAGAGGCACTCAGTGCCACTATCGGCAGCCGCACTTCCCACAGACTGTGGGGACTGGGAGCCAGAGAGCGTGTCAGACTCGGGCCACTGCCTGGAGCCAGGGTCTGATTCACTGTGAGCAGGGAACAGGGAGAAAAGGATTTGCTTTATTACAACTTCTTATATTCCTAGCTTACTACATGATTCTCTGAGGGCTCACATCAAATAACAAATCCCCTTTAAAAAGCAACAGATAGCTATAATTAGACAGTCGGACATCCCTCTTGCAATGCCTTAACAACTTCAAGGCACACTTAACTTTTCTTAAGTAGTGTTTAGAGTTATGTCATAATATTGAAAATAACCTATTATTAGCACTCCGAGGAATTAACTGAAAATACAGTAAATGTCACAAAAATTGCTGTAAGTTATTCAATATAACAAACATTTCAACCTTTTTGATTTTAATTAAAGGAGTACAAAAGTTTTAAGCATATGTGTATATTTTCATGATGAAAATGACAGGGCAATTAAGAAAAATCTGATGTTTGGAAAACTTTTGATCCTAATTTCCTAGAAAAAGCTGTGATAGTATAGACAGCCTGGAGGAAATTACTGTAATCCAAGGCTGTTTTATTTTTAAAAACAAGTCTGGTCTAAATTCATCTATTACTCCACAAAACAGAAAAAGTTAAGCAAGAGAACGTGTCAGGAGGCTAGCCCCACCATGAAAAGAAATGCATTAAGAAATAAACTAAAAATAAACTGTCCTTACACTAGTGAAAAGGTCAGAAATAAATATGAGGCTATTCAATATTTTCATTTTTCTAGATGATAAAGCAAAGAAGCCAGATTTCAGAAAATGAAAAGGGAAACTGCAGTGAAGCATAAATTTGAGAGAGAAAGAATTAGGAAATGACAACTTAAATTTCTTAGTCATGAACATTTAATTGTTCTATACCCTTTGAATGGATATTACATTTATTGTTCTAGAATTTTCAAATTATTTTATTTTATTCAAAAAGCCAATATATTTAATGTATATGATCAATAATATATACACAGTCCAGTGTAGTTAAAAGGTCTTCAGAAAAAAATCTCAAATTTGAGCAGTAGATGGCAGCAGAATACAGATATGCCATAGCTAGGAAGCAGTTTCAAAAGCTGTAGTTTTGCATCTGAGCCAACAAAAGATTTAGGTTTTTGGAAATGTTCTGTCTTAACAACAATGCACAATACCATAATACTGAAATTAACTTAAAATATTCTCTTCACTGGAAATGGTGAAAAAGCCAAAGCCAATAATAAGCCATCAAAACCTGCTCTGCTAGGGCTGAAGAGAAAGGCTGACTTCACGGGTAAAACATAAACACCTGTTTCCTCTTTATCCTGGGCACACAGCTACGTCCCATTATGGTTAGGTGGGGCCGCGGGACCAGACGACTGAGTTGTTGATGTGGACAGAAAGGGTGGGCTGTGCCCTTCCCAAGCCTGGTCCTTATATACCCCATGTGATCCTCTCTCCTTCTCCTATTGAGTCCCTAGGGGATGATGGAACCTGAAGATGGAAGGAGTTCGTGCTCCTGAATTCCTGTGTGCAAGGCTCCCACCAAACACCAGCAATGGAATACAGTTGACCCTTACAATATGGGTTGAACAGTATTGATACACTTTACATGGATCTTTTCAAGAGATATATTGTCAGTCCTCCATATTCCTGGGTTTCACATTCATGAATTCAACCAAGCATGGATTAAAATCAATTAAAATTTTCTGGGGAAGAGGAGGGCTGACTGTATGCACTGTTCTATACCATCTATATTATAAAGAGGCAATATGCAAATTAGGCCGGGACTCTGTAATGGGTCACAATCAGGCAGGAGGAGGTTGAGACAGAGGCAAGGGGGCCTGCCTGAACAGGCGCGGTGGCTCGGGTGGCCCTGGAGTGGACACAGGCGGGGGGGGGGGGGGGGGGGGAGTGGAGGAAGATGCTGCATGAGTCAGGGGCAGGTCCCAGCCCCCACAGGGCGCCTCCTCCTCTAGTTTTATATAATGGATAATGGGCTTGATTGTGAGCCTCTGCAAATGTGGGAATCCAGGGTAGGTCTTGAAACCAATCCCTGTGGAGGGATGATTGTAGTTAAGTTTTGGGGGAGTAAAAAATTATGTGAATTTTCAACTGCCTGGGTGGGAGTTGGTACCCTAGCCCCATATGGCTCAAGAATCAACTGTATTATCACATGAGCAAGAAATAAACTTCTATCGTGGTGAGCCACTAAGGTCTTGCATTTTATCAGAGCAGCTAGTGTCACTTTTAACCAATACAGGGAAGATGCCACCTGACCCAACATGTCACCAAATCCACAAGGGTGATGTGATTTAAAGTTTAATTATGAATACTGAATATTTAGTCAAAATAACAATAAAAACAATCCTAACAAAACATATGCTTATAAGCATTATAACAGTTTCCCTATCTTTAATTATGTATGAGATGTAATTCGTTCATGAGGTAAGAATGACAATGGTCCTAAATAGTAAAATTATAATTGAGCACCATAGGTAGGGTTCTATTGCTTATTTCCCCTTTTAAATATTTTTTAAATTGATTTTTAGAGAGAGAAGAAGGGAGAAGGAGAGAAATATCGATTTGAGAACAAAATATGGATTGGCTGCCTCCTGCACATCCCCTACCCAGGAACTGAGCCCGAAACCCAGGCATGTGCCCTGATAGGGAATCAAAATGGCAACTTTCTGGCGCATGGGATGACACCCAACCAATTGAGCCACACTGGCCAAGACACTTACCCCATTTTTAAAAAGGGAAACTAAGAAAGCTATCCTAAGAATTGTGATGTAAGTAAATGATTAAGAACTAAGAAAATCTGGGGGGAAAAGTAGTAATTCTAAGACAGCTTACATTTTAACCTTCTTATTAAAAAAAAAAAAAAATGGGACAGTTTCAGTTCTCTCACCTTAAAAACCCAACTACTGCCCAGCCAGCATGGCTCAGTGGTTGAGCACTGACCTACGAATCAAGAGATCACAATTCAATTTCCAGTCAGCATACATGCCCAGGTTAGGGGCGTGTTGAAGGCAGCCAATCAATGATTCTCTCTCATCATTGTTGTTTCTATCTCTCTCATCCTTTTCCTTTCTCTCTGAAATCAATAAAAATAAATTAAAAAAAAAAACCTACAAACTATTACTTCAAATGAAGTAAGTATTTGAGATATATTTCAAGAGCTAGTAGGAAAGAGTTTAAGGACCTTTCAAAAGTATCTGCCAAAAATTTAAATAATCTTTATATTGATCCCATCTATTTTTAAATAAAAACTTAAATGTTTTCCAATAATTTATTTAAAAGTGCTTAATTATGTGTACCTACAGTTCAGAATATTCAAAACATCCTTTCCAAGGGAAAATTTGTGTTTTCTTTGTAATCATAGAGTACATTGGAATGAAATTCCCATAAGAATGAAAATGAACTTCAGAAACAGTACAAGTATATTCTATCTGAAGTTTTAGAGTTAGATAAGAGGAAAACCATGAGGGAGGGAGAGAAAGAGAGATAAGAGGGAAGAGCTCTAGAGGATATGGGGTGCGAGGCCAGCTGGAATGATGCTTCACCAGACCCAGGCTTGAATTCAGAAAAAGCATGGGAGCTCAGACTCGGTGAGGAAGTGAAGGCATTCTTTGTAAAAAGTTTTTCAAAAAAGATATATTATCTTTAAAACATATAAGAAAGGAGACAAATGCTAAAAAATGTTTTTAACCATGCTAAGTTGTATTAATGACCATAATAGTGCTAACATGAAGCCAGACTCATTGTATATCTGTAGGTAGGTTTAACTAGCGTACCTCTTTTCTTGTTACACTAAAAACTTCTACATAAATAGGTGTTATTAGTTTCAAATCACTGCAGTCAAATCAACACAAAAACAATTTCAGAATCTTCTAAATCTGAAGCAATCCTCTAACATAACTAAAGGATATCATCATCATGCTCTTTTTTCTCAGATTAAATATTTTGCTCTAGAAATGGCTATACTATGTCAGAGCTGTTCACCATTCAACTCACAAGGAACACACTACCTTTTAGGGAAATAGAGAGCTGCAACTTCAGGTTCTAGAACCTTTAAGTCATCTAGGTAAATATCATCAGGTCCCTGGTGTTGGCTTCTCTTGTGGACACCTATTTTTATAAGAAAAACATATCAGAGAAAGAAGTTAGTTATTCTTCATTTACAACTCTGCAAGAAAACAAAAGTTTCCAAACAATAAAACCAATCATCATGATTTGAATTGGGCTTTATTTTTAAAAATGTCAAATAACATTTACATTTGTGGTTCTCAACCACCCATGCCAATGGAAGTTGCTCAATAAACACAGGCTAGTTTACTTATTCATTCTTTCATTTGCTGACATGAATAATACTAGTCCCTAAAAATAATTTATATTTGACAATAAAGTTTATCAAGCACGACCAAGCTTGACAAAATAACTGGCATCAAGAAAAAAGGCATTATTCTAAAACCATGAAGGAAAGGTTGTTGGAAAATAGGGTATTCACTTAGTGCCTAAGTATTTTCTTCTAATTGTAAAAGGACAAAAATCCTTCACAACAAATAAATTTGGCAGACAATGATCACCTTAAACAAGTGATCATATTTAGCATCACTAATAGTGAGACATCAGGAGGTTCAATATGAAGCATCCAATCATCCCATAATCTTCAATTCCAAAATAAAAAATATGTAACCCAAATCAAATTAAGCCCACTATAGTAGTCACCAGCCACATGTGGCTACTGAGAACTTGAACTGTCCTAGTCTGGTGTGAGGTATGTAAAATTTGTTTAAAAATGCAGAACACACACACACCCCAGATTTCCAAGACTTACTTTATAAGAATGCAAAATTTCAATAATTCTTATATTAGTTACATGTTAAAATTGTAATAGTTTGGTTTTACTGGTTTAATAGAATATATTACTAAACAATTTCACTTGTTTGTTGATTTATTACTCTTTTGTGAGATGACTTAAAATTATATATGCAATCCACATTACATTTCTATAGGACATAGCAAACTTCCAGTTGAAGAAAATATGAGAATGTCATCTTGAAAAACAATAATCGGATTATCCAGAATTTAAGAAAGTATACCAAACAATTGACTGAGCTCTTCAAAAGGTCAATATTTTCAGTGTAGAGAAGGAAAAAAGTGTAGCAGTATGTGTTTATGTATGAGGGACAGTGTGTGTGTGCGCAGGGGTGGTATTCTAAATTTAAAAATGTAACACGTGAACTTTGATGAGATCTTGGTTTGGAAGAGAATGGTAAAAAGCTATTCTTGATGTGTTTAGGAAAATATGAATATGGATTCCTCAACATGACAATTGTTTGTGTTAGAGAAGGTTTTTATGCTTAAAAAATGTATCTTCTTGGGATTGTGAACACACAATACAATATACAATTGATATATTATAGAATTGTACATCTGAAACCCAGATAATTTCATTAACCAATGTCACTCCAAAAAATTCAATTAAAAAAACCACACAAAGTGTACCTTGAAGTATTTAAAGGTGAAATGATATAATATCAGCACCTTATTTCCAAATGGTTTAAACCCATAAAAAATTTTGTGCAAATGGAGAGACAAAAAGACAGAGATAAAGGGGGAGTGAAAGCATGCAAATATGCATAAAACTTTTCACATTAAAAGGTGGGGGTGGGGAAGAAATGGGGTCAAATGAATGGTGGAAACTACTTCGTGTTCCTAGCTTTAGTCAGTTAATACACTCTGCACTAAGAATAGGGGGATCAGTATTTCCTAAACTAAAACAAAGCATTCACCTGACAACTGGATTTTACCCCCTTAACATTTCTTAGAAGAATACATGGTTATGGGCTTTTGGTTTGAGAAGTGCTGATCTATGAAAGAGCAAGATGCCAAATTAAGCTGGATCATCAGCTGGATGATCGCACTTGGCCACAAATACCCTTGACAGTCAAAGCCTTTTATTTTAAAGTAGAGGCCCAGTGTACGAAATTTGTGCATGGAGGTCCCTCAGCCCAACCTGTACCCTCTACAATCCAGGAGGTCTCAGGGGATGTCCTACTGATGGCTTAGGCCCACTCCCCGTGGTTCTCTGCTCTCTGCGGGCCTGGAGGTTTTGCTGCAGCCATGGAAATGAAGCCCCCATGCCCTGCTCTCCGCTCTCTGCCTGCCTCGCCATGCGCCATGAGAAGGAAGCCCCAATGCCTGCAGTGTGCTCTGTCTGCCAGGCCTGGGGGCTTCGCCAACACCAACACACTAAGGAAGCCCCATGTCCTGTTGTCCTGGCTCTGTCTGTGGGCCTGGGGGTGTTCCTGCCACCACCTTGCTAAGGAAGCCCCCAAGCCCTGCTGTCTGGGCTCTGACTGCCCTGTCTGGGGCGGATCAAAAACTCCTCTGGGGGCAGATCCAGCCTCACTGCTCCTGTGGACAGGCTGGACACTCCAGCAGCAGAGCTGAGGGGACTGGGCGACACCATCTTGTGGCTATGGAAGGGGGGGTGCCATTTTGTTGCGAAGTGATGGTTAATTTGCATATTACTCTGTTATTATAATAGATAGGGTAAGTTATTTCTGATTGACCCTGAAGATGTATACATGTAGTGAAGATTTACTAAGTTAATTATCTATCCTTTGGTATTAGAATTTTAAAAAATGGAAGTAGATATTTGGCTATATGTAACAATGGATATTTTTAGGTAAGGTTTTACTTCCCTAAAAATAGGATCCAAGGCTAGTGTTTTGGCTCTTACTGTAACAAGTGTCAATGAATAATTTTTGTTTTTAAAGAGAAAGAATGTTATGGTTTATTAAAATTATATTTCAAAAGTGGGATGGAGATATTGAGCCAAGAGTTGAAACCTATATTCTGTTTTAGAGGAAAATAGTCAATGAAAAAGAACATATGCTAATAATTAGTGTATATTTATTTATATCTCATATTATTGAAAAAAAAAAAAGAAGTACTTAATTTGGCCTCAACTAACCAGAAGTTTTAAGTGAAAGTATTTTTCTCTAGTCTAATGTTTTTTGTTGTTTAAACATAATTTTTAAGGATCCCACTTCATTTTATTGACACACCTTGTCAATAAAGTGGTTTATTTTATTCATTAACATTTCAATATACCCCCCTTCCCCCCCAGTAAGTGCTTCTCAAGGGCCTATTGAGCAGCAACAGTTATGAGAGAGCAGGGAAGAAGTCAGAGTCCTACTCCAGTGGATCCTATAGTGCGATGGGGAAGCCATATGAAACAAGTGATCCTAATTGTGTTCTGACAGGTTCTGATCAAGCTGTACAAATATAATGGTAGCCATCACACATTATTTGAAACACTGAAAAAATTTACCATCTAAATTTAGAGTGCCTAATGCCAAATTAAACAAATAATTACCTTTCTTCTTAGATGGCGAGTCTACTTTCGCTGCTGGTTTTGATTCTGAGTGAGCCTCCCCTAGCGATGGGTTAGGAAGGTGGTCTGCATCTAATATAGATGAAATCTGAGGCTCAACAAGTTCTGCAGCGCAAGTTGCATCGCTCATCTGCTTACACAAGGCTCTGGGTTTGGGTTTCACTATGGTACAGACCGTTTCTCCCATGGATGCATTCTTCTCAACTTCATTTATGAGGTGGTCCTCACTGGGAATTACCCGAAAATGAGTATTTTCTGATGGAGTAATCGTAGCTGTCCTAGGATGATGGTCAGATTTCTCTCTTTTGCTGACCTAAAAAAGTTGAATTGTTTAAAAATTAAACTACTATCCAAAGTGTTATAGCCTATTTCTTGAGTTGGATGCAAATAAATGTGATTATTTTATTTAAACAACATATTCAGTAAATACATTATTTTCTGTGTGAAGTATTTCATAGTTGAAAAATGGGAAAAATAGTAACTGCATTTTGTTCAATATCATATTTATAAAAGTTATATTTATAACTGTTCTACTATGAAGAGTTCAATATTGGAGAAGACTGAAGAAATAGATGGCAACTTTTAGATACTAAGAAGGAGAATATTCATTTTCAGGGAGAAAACTTGAATGCTACATAAAAATTTAGCCCTCCTTGCACTATCTTCAGGCTCTGTTAAAACAATGTAAGATGTCGAGTTATTATGTTTACACCTGAAACTTACATCTTCCAAACCAATTTTTAAAAAAAGTAAAAGTGGGCAGTGAGGTCTCCAATGCAATGACACATATAAGCAAAATGTGTATCTTTAAAAACTAGAGGTCTAAATAATTCCTCTTCCAAGAGACAGAAAGACAAACACCATATGATTTCACTTACATGTGCACCATAAAAAAAGAACAAACAAAATGAAACAGAAACAAACTCATAAATACAGAAAACAAACTGATGGGTTTCCAAAGGGGAGGAGGTTGTGGGATTGGGCAGAAAGGGCAAGGGAATTAAGAGTATCACCTTGCACTTATAAAAAAGTCATAGGAGTGTGATGTATAGCATAGGAAATAAGAGTCAGTAATATCATAATAACTAGGTATGGTGACAGATGGTTATTAGAGTCATTATGGTGGTCATTTTGTAAGGTATATGAATCACTATATTGTACACCTAAAACAAATATAATTTTATTTGTCAAATCTAAAGTAAATTTTTAAAAATCAGAAAGAAAACCTTAAAGTTGGGGTAATTCACACACATAAAATAAAAGCAGTCTCTCTCAATAAATGAACAAGTAAAAAAATGTTATCTTTCCAATTCTTTCATTATGAGTTGGCAAGAAAGCTTTAACAATCAATTTCCTATTTAAAACTTCAGTGTGAAAATTCCATTAGGTACCTTTTAAATTGTCTTTACTATAATGTTAATTAACAATCAACATTATTTAATAAATAGAAACACAGAAAATGCTAGATTTCCTTTGTTGTAAACAGTGCAAACACGAAAAATGTTAACTTTGAATTTACTTATGTAACTCCATGAGGGCACTACCATCATTTATGTTCATCTGACTCAGTCAGATATCACTCCTTTCCTCATGGACAACAAACACAGAACACTCTGTAGGTAAGTAAACCCTAGTACCTTGGTGGACTCTGGGAACCCGCCCCATGTCCATTCCATGTGGGACTCGGATCTGAGCAGGCTCTCCACAGGTTTCACCTCCAGCTCCGAATCACTCTTCGGACATTCTGCTGAGGAATACGGGCTGCAAACATATTACAAAGAAACATAATGAATTTAAAGTCAGGAACTTCAGTGTTGCCGAGTTTGACAGATTAAAAGAAATGTAAGTTTGAATATATCAACTGTATTCTGCTTATATAAAGAATCTATTTTAGAAATGTCAATTATTTCTTCCTTTGAGTTTTTTTTATTAATAATAAACACAGTGAACACTAGTATTAAAGGTGGACTTGCTATAAAAATTTGCATCATCCCATTTGATTCTCACAAGAAATCTATAAGAAAAGTAATTTTACAGGCGAGAAAGTGCATGGAAAGATGAATTAAATTAACATCTCTACATGAGAGAAACTGGAGAGTCACAATGTTATACACAGTACAATTAATAGTTAATACTAAAGGATTAGAAATTAAGAATTGTAGAGAGCCAAACTGCATGCTGATTATACAGATGTACAGTGCCAACACAGTGAGAGTAAGTTAAATCAAGTTTAGGAACAAAATAATTGAGATGAAAGGTCCATATTCATATTAAAAGTACACATGCAGTGCCTCTACTGTCTGAGAGAAATAGGAAACACCAATACTGTTCAATAACAGAAAAGTCAATTTAATATATCTTTCCTTTAAGAAGCAGAAAATTTGAAAATACTTACATGTCCAAAGGGGACCAATCTCCATCAGATAAGGGGTAGTGATCTCCAGAATGGAAGAGCAGAGGCTCCCTATATTCTTCTTCCTTTAAGGAAGCATTTGAAGATCCTCTGTGAAAGGGGGTTGAGGGGAAGAGACAAAGAAAGGCAGAAACAATGATACTATGTCAGCTTAAAAATGTCCCCAAATCTACTGATACATCATCTAAAGTTTAAATGATGAAAAAGGCCCCTGAAAATTAAAATATGGAGAAGGGGGATTCATCGATGTCACCCAACATACCATACTACAACCACTATTTAAATATGGGATAAACAGAAAGAAAAGAAGATGTGATTAAAAATTCATTTTTACCTCCCTTAGTAATAACTGATTCAAAGGCTAAAAGAAAACTGAGACTTTATGTATATTTCATTCAATCCTTACAAATATAAGGTAATAATAATTCTATTTTAGATATTAGGTAATCAAGAATCCAGAGAAGTTTACTAACTTGCTCAAAGTAAAGAAGCTAGTAAAGTTGCTGGATTAAAAACAAGCAAGCCCTTGCTCTTTGCACTACCCTCTCCTGTATATTACAAAAAATATAAGAATATCAGCTAAGAGCTATTGGCTCAAAATTTTAAAACTCTAAAATCTCTTAAAAACCAGAACTTATTTCCTCTTTGTATGGACCAAGCATTACTTTAGAACTTTCTCTTTACTGAGAATCTACATGATGTGGAGACATGAGGAAGATGATATAAAAATATAAATGACAAAAACAGATCCAGAGACAAAGAAGTACCAATCAGATGCTCAAACCTCAGAGGGAAGGTAGGGGAGGATGGGGATAGGGGGAGAGATCAACCAAACGACTTGTATGCATGCATATAAACATAACTAAGCATAACCAATGGACACAGACACCAGGGGGGTGAGGGGATGAGCGAGAATAGGGGGATGGGGAGGGGGGCAATGGGGAGATAAGGACACATATGTAATACCTTAATAGAAAAAGAAAAAAATGAGTATTTTTAAAAGTAATATACAGACCTTAAAACCATAGGCGGTTGAACTAATGCATTATGGTTTTAATTAATTTACCCTTTGCGTTTCTTAAAGTTGCACAGTTAATATAACTAACTGGCCACATAGCCTTAAAATATCCCTCAGAAACATGTGGGCCCGACTTTTTCATCTTTAGTTGGAAATTTATCACTTGTCCTATTTCACAGAGTCATTGTGAGGTTTATGTGTTGTGTCATGTTGAAAGCTCTGAAAAGCATAAATAAAAGTACAAAAAACATACAAAGCTCTGAAAAGTGTAAAGCACTACAGTTTTAGAGCATTTTTATCTAATAGGAAATTCAATGTTCTACCAGAACAATATTAAAGGTAAAATGAGAATATATACCACTTAATTTCCTAGACTAAAAACAGGTCTATAAACCAGTTTATTAGTTTTTAATATTATTTTTCCTCCTTTATATCTTAACATGCTCTCTTTTACTGCTAACTCACCTGTAACAGTTTTTCCACATAGCAGCTCTAATTCAAGGTTTCCCTACTCTAATCTTTTGTTCAGAAATACTCAACTCTGGCATACAACCTCATTCAAAGGAAGAAAAACATATAGTTAAAAAAGGCTAATGCTCTGGTTTCTCTTCAGAACGCATACATCTTTCGCCTTTTACTTAAAAAAGGCCAGCCCTAGGTGGCTTGGATCAGTGGATAGAGCACTGGCCTGTGGACTGAAGGGTCCCAGGTTTGATTCTGGTCAAGGGCACATGCCTGGGTTATAGGCTCGATCCCCAGTAGGGGATGTGCAGGAGGCAGCCAATCAATGATTCTCTCTCATCACTAATGTTTCTCTCTCTCTCGTCCTCTCCCAGATTTTGTGTGCCGGGCCTCTAGTAGTATAATAACTCTTTTTCCTGACTAGACAGTTTAAAACAAAAACTTGGTAAATCAAGCATATACTAGGTCACAACAGAGTTTACAATTGATATATATTTGGTTAACTACCGTGTTTCCCTGAAAATAAGATATCCTCCAAAAATAAGACCTACTTACAGGTTTCCTTCTGAGTGATATAAGGCATCCCCCCGAAAATAAGCCCCCCCCCCCATAGGCTAAACATGAGAGATTTGGTCCACTGATTCTGAAAGAAATGGAGTCACAAGAAATTCACCAGGAAACTCAGGAATTGGATTGTTATGATGATGTTCCAGAAGATGATGACATGATTGCCATTGAATAAATGAGTAAATTCTTGATACTGTAGGATTCACAGTTTGTCTGGTTTGTGTTGACAACTACCGCACTACCGTACCATATACAGGTAATAAATTTCCTTTATTTACATTTAACAATAAATGCGTACCGTATTCTTCTTCATGGAAAAATAAGACATCCCCTGAAAATAAGACCTAGTGCATCTTTGGGAGCAAAAATTAATATAATACACTGTCTTATTTTCTGGGAAACAGGGTAGAGACAGAAATTATTTTCCATGAAGAGAACTTTAAAGCACTATTTTCCCAGGAAGTAGGGCATATTCTCTTTTCAGCAGCTGAGATGAAAGCGTACAAGTGGAACAAGCACACATGGCACAATGCCATCCTCTCCCACCCCAATTCTCATAAAAGATTTGAAAATTTAGGGATGCTTGTGAGCAGCAGCTTCTTATTCAATGGTTACCAATGAAGATAAGCACCCACTGACACACCTATGATCCTTCCTGTGCCAGTGCAACCACTGAGTATAAAAGGTTGAGAGATAATCTTCTAAAAATGGACTCTTGGATGAAAAAAATACATGTCTTACCCCAACTTGCTACCTTTCAACCTCAGACAGTGCTGACTTGAAAACTGGCATCTATTTCGAACTCTTCTAATGAGCTGGTGAATAAGTAGCCTGGAGATTTCTCACTTAAAACAAAACCCTTTTTTCCTCTTTAACTTATAGGGTGTTCTTTTTAAAAAAAATTTAATCATTTTAAAATTTACAGTTGATATACAATATTATATTAGTTTCATATGTACACCCCAGTAATTAGACATTAGTATATAACTTACTTAGTGATCATCCCGATAAGTCTGTACCCATCCTACACCATGCATAGTTAGTACAATGTTATTGACTATATGCCCTGTGCCAGTGGTCTGCAAACTGTGGCTCATGAGTCACCTGCTGCTCTTTAGCCCCTTGAGTTTTTCGCAAAGGCCAGCTTAGGAGTACCCTAATTAAGTTAATAACAATGTACCTACCTATATAGTTTAAGCTTAAAAAATATGGCTCTCAAAAGAAATTTCAATCATTGTACTGTTGATATTTGGCTCTGTTGACTAATGAGTTTGCCGACCACTGTCCTATGCTGTACTTTACATCCTATGACTCTTCTGTAAAAACCAATTTGTACTTTCTAATCCCTTTTACTTTTTCACTCCCAAGCCTGCTCCTATCTGGCAACCATTAAAATATTCTCTGTATCTATTATTGCTTCTGTTTTACTTCATTTCCTTTTTTTTAGATTCATTTGTTGAAAGTATGTGTTTATTGACATTTTATTGTCCATATTTTAAAATATTCCCCCCTTCTTCTTTTTAATAATTCTCAGGAAAAGGTGAGATACCAAGCCCAAGACCACTGGATTAGGAAATAAATATACCTGATGTTTATATCTCCATACCCAGAGGTGAGTCACTAGTTCAGATCTTCCTTGAAACTTACAATTTATTTGGCTTTTGGAAACTTACTGGATGAAAACACACATTGCCAGTCTGTTTTAAACGATATTTGAGCACCACCACAGGATGTCTGATGGCAAATTTTGTCAAGTTACGGGAAGAAAAAAGATAATGCCTTTCCTACTTGATTCCAAAACGAACTGTCAAGAGAAAAAACAAGTCCAAACCTCATACTGTAAACCCATAAAAGAAACGGCTTCTCACTTTAACTGTGTTCTGTTTGGAGCATCATGAACATCTGGCACCTGCACAAAGTGCCTCCCAGACCGAGAGCCCTACCTTGCTGACTGGGCCGCCTTGTCATCATCAGAGCTCAGATCCACAGTGTCTTCTGCAGCAGGAGAAGCTGCCTGGTCTTCCTTTTTACTTTCCTGTTTGCATTTCTTTCTCCTCCTTTTTTTCTTTTTCACAGAACTTGGAGTAAAAACCGTCTCTGTTTCCAAGATGTGTGAGATGTTGGAACTCTGAGATGGTCTTTCATTTCCACCCGATTTTACCAAAAGGGAGTCAATATCTTTAAAAAATTGATCTTCAGTAGGAATTGGTGAAGTGGCAAGGTAAGCAGGAAGTTTTTCCTTAAAGAGAACATAAAGAAAGAAAAATTGTCCGTGGCAAACTGGAAAACCAAAATAATAATAAATTCTTTGCATATCTAAATTTTCATAGTGGCATAAAAAATAGTCCCTGAAGGTAAGAAAGTCACACTGAACTGGGGCACTGCCCACTCTACTTTAAAAGGCCCTTACTTTATTGCACACAGCTGTGTTAGCTAACTTTGGTCCACATAACTCAATATGTTTAGACGAACCATTATGCCAAGACAGCATAGAACATGAAAGCTATAATTAAAGCAAAGACAATTAAATTATCTGTAAAAAGAAGTTCGAAGCAGCAGCAGATGAATTCCAAGGAGGCGTTAAAAGCATTCTATAAAGAACTTACAAAGAATAGTAAGAACAGACAAAGCAGAAGACAAGGACAAAAATACCCCATCAGACAATGGACAATAGGATAATGGTTCCCAACCTTTTTTTGGCCATGTCCATCTCTAAAATCCTGATGTCCCCTCTCTTCTCCGTTCACTTTTTGAATAAGAATTATATGTTAAGAATTATAGCATATGATTCAACTCCTATTCATGTGAAGGAAGCCTAAAAGGCAATTAACTTGGTCTAAACAAGCTTCCAAAGAATATGGCATCCATGAAAGAGAAAAATAAAGAAGGAAAGGACAGCTGAAGTATGGAGGAAGAAATCATTAAGAAATTGTTTAAAAATATGAAGTGATGTGAAAAAATAGCAAATAAAGTTTCAAAAGATAAGAACTAACATGCATAAATGTCCTAATAAACATTTATAATATAGTATATGAGGCCCCTAGAACCATAAGAAATGCAAAAAATTCACTGTTAATAACTCATTCTCAAATTGCCCTCTTTAAAAATCAAATTGCCCCCCTGTGGGGCATGTGCCAATGTTAGGAATCAACGGGTTAAGTGAAGTGAGAAACTGGTAAAATTTATAGTTAATGCTTGTGTTTGCCAAATTAATTAAGAATGGAAGAAGACGACTATAACAGAAACAATATTCTGTAAAAAATAAAATTAGAGGATTTTTAAATCATAAAACATTTAAGATACCCTTTTAGGAAATCAAAAGAAGAAAATAAATTCCAACAATTAGAAATAATTAAACTCTTATTTTATCATTAAATAAATGATCAGGTCTGGTATTCAGGAAATTAACTTCTTAATCATTTTGCTTCATTCTTTCATATCATGGGGGGAAATGGAAGGTAGGTAACAGAGATCCAAACTAGCCTCATATAATTCAGAAGACTCAAGTTTTTATGTAATATACTGAAAATAAGTGGATTTCCGTAATTGTTTTAAATTAAGCTTTTGAATTTGGGTTTGGTAAATATATTATCCCAAGGCCAAAGTTTTTTTGGCCTTGGGGTAATATATTTTTATCCAAGCAAAATTTGTGTTCACCAACAACACATACTTAGAGAAAAACTGCAATGATAGGATATTATTGAAGTGACAGACTGTGGTCTTTGACAACCAGAAGTCTTTTAATTTAATGGTCTTTGTTACAAAGTTTACTTGTACTTTTTTTTTTTTTTTTTACATGATAATCTTTTTTTTTTTTTTTTTTTTTAATATATTTTATTGATTTTTCACAGAGAGGAAGAGAGAGGGATAGAGAGTTAGAAACATCGATGAGAGAGAATCATCGATCAGCTGCCTCCTGCACACCCCCTACTGGGGATATGCCCGCAACCAAGGCACATGCCCCTGACCAGAATCAAACCCGGGACCCTTCAGTCCGCAGGCCGACGCTCTATCCACTGAGCCAAACCGGACCCGGCATGATAATCTTTTTATTCATATATTAGAGGCCTGGTGCATGAATTCATGCATGTGCAGGGTCCAGCTAGCCCACACTGATTGGGGCTAGTCAGGCAGGGCCAGCCAGGAGGAGGGGCCATGGGCAGTTGGGTATGGGGGCTGATCAGGGGCGGCATTAGCTGGGGGGAAGGGCTAGAGGTGGTTGGCCAGCCGGCCCCATCCCCTGGCCAAACTCCTGGTTGAGCGGACAATTTGCCTATTAGCCTTTTATTATATAGGACTAGAGGCCTGGTGCATGAAATTCGTGCACTGGGCAGTGTCCCTCAACCCGGCCTGCACCCTCTCCAATCTGGCACCCCACAGGTATTGGGCCTAAACTGGCAATCAGACATCTCTCTCACAATACAGGCCTGCTGGCTCCCAACTGCTCACCTGCCTACCTGATTGGCCCTAACTGCTTCTGCCTGCCAGCCTGATCACCCCCTAACCACTCCCCTGACAGCCTGATCAATGCCTAACTGCTCCCCCACCAGTCCAATAGCCCCCAATTGCCTTCTCCTGCCAGACTGGTTGCCCTCAACTGCCCTCCACTGCCTGCCCAGCCACCCTCAACTGCCCTCCCCTGCCTGCTTGGCCACCCCCAACTGCCCTCCCCTGCCTGCTTGGCCACCCCCAACTGCCCTCTCCTGCAAGCCAGTTGCCCCTAATTGCCCTCCCCTTTCAGGCCTGGTCACCCCCAATTGCTCTCCCCTGCAGGCCTGGTCACCCCACACAATGCTTGTTTAGTCATTTGGTCGTCCCTCACTAACCCCCCTATTAGCCTGGTTGTATGCAGCCATCTTGTGAGGGTGTGATGGTCAATTTGCATATTACCTTTTTATTATATAGGAGGATATATAGATGATGGAAGATTTAACAATGTGTTCTAGGAATTTTGAAGAAGATCCTCATTAAATCTATTAAGGATAGTTTACCACCAATTCAAATTAATGAATACAAAAGAAAAAAGGAGAGGGAGAGAGGAAAAGAGGGGTAGAGAAAGAGAGGGGGAAAGAGGGAGAGGAAGGAAAAGGGGGGAGAAGGGGAGACAGGGAGGGAGAAAGAGAGGCAAGGAGAGAAGGGGAGGGAGAAGGAGAAGGATGGGGAAGGAGGATGGGAAGAGAATGGGGTGGGAAAGGAAGGGAATGTGTGTTGATAAGGACAAGTTGTACTCTCTTGCTTAAAGAAGCCAAGCATGCAGTAATTACTTATAAAGGGTATAGGCTGATTTAAATCCCTTGAGACTATAATAAACTTCACTGTGACTATTCAAGGTTTGAGATATAATGTCCTAAATCAAAATGGTAAACTTGCTTTCCAAGTTTAAAGATCACATGTGTACCAATACACACATAATCTGAAGAGATACACCTTGATTACTTAGGCAGAACACAAATGTATTCAAGTCAAGGTATAAACTGTAACAGACACTAGATAAGAAAGCTCATTAATGTTAGAAAAACAGATGTACCTTTCCTCATTAAAACAAAGCAAGTATGAAGGCCTGCATTCTCTCTGAATCCTGAAATCTGGCATGGAAAAAAGATCCTTCTCCACTCCTCTAGCTCCTTTCTGATGTACAGCTAACCATGGAAACTGAATATTTCTGTTTTGGGATACGCACTAGAGACCTGAATATAATGAATAAAGTGGATGTGACCCATTAGAACTCACATATTCTTCTTCAGTCTCCTCCACAAAGAAAGCTTCTCCATTGTCACCCAATTTCATATGAAGATCCACTGCATCACCATTGATTTCTATATCAATCTAAAAGGAGAAACAAAATGCAATTTAGCATTAAGAGTCTTTCACTCAGGTTAAGCTAAGGCTAAATTCTGGGTTCTCAAGTCAAACTTAGTAATGAAGTTCTAGAGTGACAGCCCCAAAGAAACAATGCTATCTACCCCATATCCCACCCCTAAAAGAACCCAAACAAACCTTGGAGGACAGTTTGGGAGGGGATGGTGACCAGGGATTGAAAGAAAATGTTTTATCATCTATTTTTATAACATATAAACATTTTAAATTATTTAATTCCTAAATATCATAGAATAGAGGGTACATCATAGTCAATAAACATCTGCACACTTTCAGAGTTATATCACAGGTAGGTCTCCCTAGCACAGTTCAGATAAACACAAATTTCAGTTACCAATATATGTTAATTGTAACTGCAGAAAGTACAAATTTCACTGTCAGCTCTTTCGTCCACAAATCACTATATAAAAATAGATGCCCATCATGATCAATAACCTATCTTGTCATTTTTTTCAAAGTCTGTTGGTGACTGGTCCTAGCACTGTTACTTGGTTCAGACAATAAAGCAGAGTTGTGTTGCCTCCTTGTCTCCTGTGATAAACTCATGTAATATTTTATAAAAATGGATACTTGAAAAAGGAAACTGGCCAAGATCAAAGTGGAGTACAGAAAAAAAGAGGAATAGTATTAGAAGTAGAATTCAAATGAAATGTTAACAGTTATAAAGTGGCTCAGACAGCTGAGCGCTGCCAGTACACCAAAAGCCTTCCAGTTCTATTCTTTTTTTTTTTTTTAAATATATATTTTACTGATTTTTCACAGAGAGGAAGAGAGAAATAGAGAGTTAGAAACATCAATGAGAATCATCAATCAGCTGCCTCTTGCACACCCCCTACTGGGGATGTGCCCGCAACCAAGGTACATGCCCTTGCCCGGAATCGAACCCGGGACCTTTCAGTCCGCAGGCCGACGCTCTATCCACTGAGTCAAACCGGTCCAGGCCCAGTTCTATTCTTAATTAGGGCACATACCAGTGTTACAGGTTTGATCCCCAGTTGGGGAGCATATGGAAGGCAACCTTTTGCTGTTTCTCTCTCACACTGATGTTTCTTTCTCTCTCTCCCCCCTATATCCCCATCATTACCTTTCTCTTTCTTTTTAAAAAATATATTTTATTGAGTTTTTACAGAGAGGAAGGGAGAGAGATAAAAAGTTAGAAACATCGATGAGAGAGAAACATAGATCAGCTGCCTCCTTCACAGCCCCAACTGGGGATGTGCCCTCAACCAAGGTACATGCCCTTGACCGGAATCGAACCTGGGGCCTTTCAATCTGCAGGCCGACGCTCTATCCACTGAGCCAAACTGGTTTCAGCACCTTCCTCTTCCTAAATATGTCCTTGGGTGAAGATTTTTTTTAAATGAAGAAGAAAATAGTTGACGGTAAGAACAGTGACCCTGCTGCCATTTTAGAGACTCAAGATGGGCAGCCCAAGGAGCTTGGTGAAGGTGAGCTTATCCACCCCAAGAAGGAAAGTGGTTGTGATGAAGATGGTCCTAAGGAGAGTGACGCAGGCAAAAAAAATTTCAGGTTAAAGGAACTCTCAAAGATACTTCACGATAATGAAAGTTCAAAGGCTGAAAAGTTAGGAGCTGATTTAAGCAATCCCTGTTAAAATACCAATGTCCTATTTCAAACATAAAGAACGAATACTCCAAAAAATTTATATGGAACCAAAAAGACCCTGAATAGCTACAGCAATCTTGAACAAGAACAACAAATTTAGAGGGATCACAATACCAGATTATCAACTTATAGTTTGAAGCCTCTGTAATCAAAACAGCCTGGTACTGGCACAAAACAGGTAAATAGATCAATGGAACAAAACAGAGAACCCAGAAAATAACCCAAACCATTAAGCTCAATTAATGTTTAACAAAGGAGGCAAGAACATACAATGAGGCAAGGCAGCCTCTTGAATAAATGGTGTTGGGAAAATTGGACAGATAAATGCAAAAAAGGAAACTAGACCACAACTTACACCTTACACAAAAATAAACTCAAAATGGATAAAAGACAAATGTAAGTCGTGCAACCATAAAAATCCTAGAAGAAACCATGGGCAGCAAAATCTCAGACATCTCTCATATCAAATTGTTTGTGGCTACATCTTCTAGCAAGGGAAACTAAGGAGAAAATAAATAGGAATACATCAAAATAAAAATCTTCTGCACAGCGGAAACCAGTCTGGCTCAGTGGTAGAGCGTCGGTCTGCGGACTGAAAGGTCCCAGGTTCGATTCCGGTCAAGGGCATGTACCTGGGTTGCGGACACATCCCCAGTAGGGGGTGTGCAAGAGGCAGCTGGTTGATGTTTCTCTCTCATCAATGTTTCTAGCTATCTATCCCTCTCTCTTCCTCTCTGTAAAAAAATCAATAAAATATATTTTTTTAAAAATCTTCTGCACAGTAAAAGACACTTCAACAAAATTAAAAGGGAACTCAATGTATGAGAAAACATTTGGCAATGATACATCTGATAAAGTGTTAATATCCAAAATATATAAGTAACGCATACAACCTAATAAAAGACAAACAATCCAATTAAAAAAATGGGCAAAGGACCTTTATAGGCACTTCTCCAAAGTGGACATACAGAAGGCCAAGAGACATATGAAAAAATGCTCAAAGTCACTGATCATCAGAGAGATGCAAATTAAAAGGACAATGAGGTATTGCCTCACACCTGTCAGAATGGCTACCATCAACAAATCAACATATGACAAGTGTTGGTGATGATGTGGAGAAAAGGGAACCCTAGTACACTACTGGTGGGAATGCAGACTGGTGCAGCCATTATGGAAAACAATATGGAGTTTCCTCAAAAAATTAAACATGGAACTACATTTTAACCTAGTGATCCCACTTCTAAGAAAATATCCTAAGAAATACAAATCAGACAGAATATATACAAAGTGAGGAGTGTTTGTATATAATATCAACTACTATTATATCACTTAAAAGTAATATAGTTGTTTAACTCTAGGCTGTGAATCAATTATTTTAATATGATAACTGTACAATAATAAATGAATACCAACATTTAAAACATTTATGAATAACCTTGTAAACTCTAGTTTTAGACTGAGAAAGGAATATAAAGGCAAACATATAGGCTGGGCCAAAAGTATGTTTACAGTTGTTCATATAAAAAATAACACAATCCTATATAATAAAGAGGTAATATGCAAATTGATCCTCACACCCTCACAAGATGGCTGCCTATGACCAAGCCAGTAGGGGGGACGACCAAATGGCTGAACAAGCAGGCTGTGTGGAGCAACCAGGCCGGCAGGAGGGTTAGTGAAGGACAACCAAATGACTGAACAAGCAGACTGCATGGGGCAACCAGGCTGGCAAGGGTTTAGTGAAGGACAACCAAATGACTGAACAGCAGGCTGCATGGAGCAACCAGGCCAGTGGGGAAGGGGGACCAGTTGGGGGAGATCAGGCCAGCAAGGGGAGCAGTTGGGGGCGACCAGGCTGGCAGGGGAAGCAGTAAGAGGCAACCAGGCCAGTGAGGGGGAAGGGGTAGTTAGGGATGATCAGGCCGGCACACAGAGGCAGTGAGGGGCAATCAGGCCGGTGGGGGGAGGGAGAGAGACATTAGGAGTCAGAGATCCAAGATTGCAAGAGGGCAGTCGGACATCTCCCAAAAGGTCCCAGATTGGAGAGAGTGCAGGCTGGGCTGAGGGGCCCCTCTGCCCCCGTGCACAAATTTCATGCACCAGGCCTCTAGTAACTAATAAATAATAATATATAAACAAACTGTTTTCTCCTACTCATAACTGCAAACCTACTTTTGCCCCACTCTGTAGATAAAGACATGCTATAAATATAAATAGAATAGTTCATAATCTAAGTATACTTAACTCTGCATGATCCTCACTGGGAAAAATCATTGTCAATAAACATATGAGCACTTTCAAGTGTAGGAAGGGAAACCTCTCTTTCCACTAGGGTTGCTGAGTTAATGGGAAGTAAGCCTAGAGGTACGGGTGGCCATCTTGTATTAGAATACACGCAAAGGGAAGTGTAGCTGAGAGGTGGATGGAAAGAGCGCTCTGGTTATTCCTTCAGAGACTCTAAATAAAGCCTGGTTAATTCAAATGTCCCTGGACTTTATTTTTTTTTTTTTTAATATATTTTGATTTTTTTTTACAGAGAGGAAAGGAAAAGGATAGAGAGTTAGAAACATCGATCAGCTGCCTCTTGCACACTCCCGACTGGGGATGTGCCTGCAACCAAGGTACATGCCCTTAACCGGAATTGAAAAGAAGAAATTAACACATTTAACACAATAATTTGTATAACCTTGTACAGAAACTGTATTACTTTCTTAGAAGCATACAACATGCAGAAAAAGGTATCATTTGAGATGCACAAATGCTTATCCTATCTAATAAAAGAGTAATATGCAAATTAACCATCACCCCGCTCAAGCCACACCTACCAGCCAATCAGAGCGAGTATGCAAATTAACATTTTCCAGCTACTTTGTGAAACCAATAAATCTTATCTTTCACTTTCAAAATAATCTAAATTTAATTAATATAAAGGGAAATTTCTATTTTTTTAAAATATATTTTATTGATTTTTTTCACAGGGAGGAAGAGAGAGGGAGAGTTAGAAACATCGATGAATCATCGATCAGCTACCTCCTGCACACCCCCTATTGGGGATGTGCCCACAACCATGGTACATGCCCTTGACCGAAATCGAACCCGGGGCCCTCCAGTCTGCAAGCCGACGCTCTATCCACTGAGCCAAACCGGTTTCAGAGAAATTTCTATTTTAAAGAATAAGATCTGCTATGTGAAATAGTCCAAATCTGAAAATAGATGTTTTCAACTTATGCCAGTGGTCTTCTAATACATACACTGTAGTTCTAGTTCAGAAAATGGTGTGGATCTTTAATTGTGCTTTAAAATTTTGACAAAATCTCCCCACACTGTTTAGGTAGATATTGTGGGCCAAGAGTAGTATGTACCTGCAAAGTTTTATTATTAGCTAATTTTCTAACTAGATTGACATCAGTTATATTAACAAACTTTACCTTCTAGTTGCTTCATTACCTGAAGGCAAGAGAATGTAAGAGAAAGAAAAGCCAACACAAATGTCTTTTTAATGAATCTTCCCTAAAATAAATAGAAGTTAACCAGCTTATGGCCTTTGTGTTTGCATTTCAGTTGATTTGGAGACAAATCCTGATTATCAACAAAATTTAGATGACAAATAAGATTTTACAGCTTTGTCAAAACAAATAAACAAATTTAGCATTAACTGTTTAAACAAATGTAGCATATTCTTGATTATGTCAGTCTATTCCACTCAGAATTGTTATTAAGGCATTACCCTACGTAAATACTTTAAAATGCTATTTAAGGTAATGGAACTTCTAAATATACCTAACATTCCCATTTGTAACTTCAGTTTCTGTTTTGCTCATCTGAGCTGCAGCACATAAAATTATCAAATAATTTTCAGTCTAAATAATACTGAGAGATCTCCTTTGGAGAGACTTACTATAGTAGGGCTTTTTGAATTTAGAAGCAACTTCAAAATGCAGTTAAGGTTGACTTCTCATACCATTCTCTTTAACATCATACAAATTTAAAACCAAAGACTCAGAGAGCTCACAGTAATGATTTACTCATTACTGTCACCTAACTTTTCACCCTCAGGAGAACAGGCTGTGTCCTGCACTCACCACTTTCTCTTTGGATCTCAGGACTCCCAGCTTCCCAAACCGAACATGAAAAGGTGAACACTGATAGGTGCCATCCTGCTGCCGCACCACAATGACATCAATGCACCCGGACAAGGTGGCTTGGTTAATACCCTTGTAGAGCTCCTTCACAGTGACAATCACCTGCCCGGCCAGCTGTCCCACATAATTCATGGTTTGAGACTACAAAAGACAAGAAGAAAAAAAAATTAGATGCAATGTTAACACCAAATTTGTGGATTTAATGACAATGACAAAGAAAATAACTAAAGTGACTAAAATTACATTGCTCATTTGTACACTAGACTATGTATCATTAGTAACCTTTTTAAAAATATGTATTTCTTTATTGATTTCAGAGAGGAAGGGAAACGGGGGGAGAGAGAGAGAGAGAGAGAGAGAGAGAGAGAGAGAGAGAGAGAGAGAGAGAGAGAGATTGAGAGAGAGAGAGAGACATATCAATGAAGAGAGAGAATCATTGATCAGCTGCCTCCTGCACTCCCCCTACTGAAGATGGAGCCAACAATCCAGGCATATGCCCTTGGCCAGAATTGAACCTGGGACCCTTCAGTCCTTAGGCCAACGCTCTATCCACTGAGCCAAACCAGCGAGGACCCATTAATAGCCTAGATTTTCAACCCATTAGTCTCATGCTACCACTGTTTCTATACATTTCCACACATGGACAATTCTACACCGTCCTCCTTTGTATCTGAGGTATACACAAGTTCCTTTTCCTTTCCATCATCAAAGATGGTGCTAGATGCCATTAGATATTTTTCTGAAAAGTAAAGAACTGTACAAAGCCACCAAAGAACCCAGACCACCATCACTTCCCGTCTGCCCAAGACTCTTGGGTACTCCTGGCTATTGCATCCTCTCTGGCCATAGTAGACAAACAGGTAAAAAAAAAAAAAGAAAAAAAGAAAAAAAAATGACCAAAGATCATCCCCAGGGGAAACCTGATGAAAGAAAAATGAGAGCTGTGTTTTCTAAGGGATATTATAATGGAATATTAAGGTTCGGACAGATGCTGGATTAAATAAACACTAGTGAGCTAGACTAGGTCTAATCTAATTTACAACATTACTTCTAGGGAAAATCCCTTCATGCTACAACACAACTCACTGGAGCATACATTTATGTTCCACAAAGTTCAAAGCCAAAAATTGGGTTTAATCTTGTTCTTTGGCCGAAATTCACTGTTCAAACCAGGATCACAAGGCTGTAGGAATCCTATAGACAGAGCCAAAAAAGGAGGTGAGGGCATCTGACAAGTCTACAAGGCCGACAGGAAATACTTTCTGCCTCTGTGACCCACTCCTGCTGTGGCTGCGGTGATCCCACTTCTAGGAATATATCATAAGAAACCCGAAACACCTTAGAAAGGACCTATGCACTTCTATGTTCATTGCAGCACAATTTACAATAGCTAAGATCTGGAATTAGCCCAAGTGCCCATCAGCATTTGAGTGGATAAAAAAGCTGTGGAACATCTACACAATGGAATACTATGCAACAGTAAAAAAAGGATCTCTTACACTTTAAGACAATATGGAGATACTTGGAAAATACTATGTAAAGCAAAATAAGCCAGTTAAGTATCACATGATCTCACTCATATGTGGAATCTAATGAACAAAATAAATTCAGAGACACAGAAGCATGGAACACACTGTTGAATCTCAGAGGGAAGGTAGGTGGGAAGAGATCAATCAAAGAACTGGTATGCATACATGCATAACCCATAGACGCAGGCAACAGTGTGGTAAAGGCCTAGGGTAAGAGATCAATGAGAGAAAGAGGGGACATATATAATAGTTTCAACAATAAAGATTTTAAAAAAATAAAATCCATTATATATAAAAGAATTTTCATATTCTCTAAGTAATATATATTCACATCATGCTTTTTGCCTTTCCTGGCATATACATTAGTCAAACAAATAGCACCCAAGTAGTCAATCTTTGAATTATTGCTTGACTGATTGTGGCTATTATTTAAAAAATATTTTTATTAATTTTTAGAAAGAGAGGAAGGAAGAAGGATACAGAGATAGAAACACTGATGACAGAGAAATCATTACTTGGCTGCCTCCTACATGCCCCCTACTGGGGACTGAGCCCCAAACCCAGGCATGTGCCCTAATCAGGAATCGAACCAGTGACCACTTGGTTCCTGGGTCAACCCTCAACAGCTGAGCCACACTGGCCAGGCTGATAGTGACAATTTTAAAATGAGTTTTGTTATAATTTTTTTAAAAAAATTCATAGCTAATTAAGTCTTTTCTTAAAAGAAACTGAAAATAACTTTTATGCAACTTCATTCAGCCATAAACAAGTTTTATAGAGTAAATCTATAATAAGCTTACATCAACTAGAGCATGGAATCCATAATTAAGTGTAGCTACACCTATTCAATATGATTTTAATTACCATGGTTGAAGGATATGCTATTTGTTATAAAAGAAAGTCTATTGTGTAAATGCCAGTTGCTAAATGTAGAAAAATACAGTCTGTTGAATGACTAATTTTCTCTTAGTAGATATAAAACAATTCTGTTTATGTTACAAAGGCTGGGAGGCCTGATGCCTTAATAGTCACTATACCCTGGGAATGAGGAACAAAACAGTGCTAGGAGAAGAATCCAAAAGGCTGGGGGAGGGAGGAGGGCTTCCTCATGGTTATGTCTGGGGGAAAAGCAGATAGTCATTGTATACCTAATATATGATACCTTAAACAGTTTCCTCTTTTAAGCAGACTCTAGCACCATAAAACTTTATTCCTACATGCCCAGCTCAGCACTAGCAATAATAAAAACCAGTGAGGGCAAAGTCAGGTCTTTGATACCACCAGCCTGTCCTGACGATAGACTGGGAAAGCAGGACTTTGTGTGGGGGCAGAAAAGATAGATGGTTATGTAAGCCAGTAAAATAAGCTTTTGAAATAAGACTAAGATTTTAAAAATATAACAAAATAAACTATCATATCTTATAGTGAATGGTGAGAAAAAGGAGTGGAAGAGAAGAGAACATTAACTCAAGAACAGAGAGTGACAGAGGCCAAGGGAGAGGAATGCAGAGATAGATAGATAAAAGTTCAGAGACAAAGCAAAGACATTACATACTTAGAAAGCAGACTGACATAAAGACTGTGGAACTGAAGAATGTTCATAGAACAGCATCTCTATCTTCCAGTTCACAAGCACAAAGAAAAACATTAAAATGCATTTACTGATTCTTAAAACTGAAAGAATTATTCCAACTCAGTCTTGCAACAAATACCAAAAATGTTTCTAGCATTTTATTCTGAAATATGATAAAGTTAACAATTATCACAGTAGCAGCTACTACTATTTTTGAGAGCTTATCATTCTTAACCTTATTAAGCATTATCATCTCAGAACCACCTTGTAGGTAAGTATAATTTCTATTTTTAAAGATAATAAAATTAATAATAAAAGTTTTTAAGTATTATTATGGACTGAATGTGAACCCCCAACCCCCAAATTCATAAGTTGAAGCTCTAACCTGGAAATGTGGTCTTTGGGAAGTCATTAGGTTTATATGAGGTCATGAGGACATTGATCCCCCATAATGGGATCAATGTCTTTACAAGAAGAAGACAGAGCATGCTCTCTTCTCCTCCCACCATATGAGGACACAGTGAGAAGTAGTTGTCTACATCTAGGATGAGGGCTGGCTAAGGCAAGTATCTTCTTTAACATCCTATGCTACACTGCTTTTCAATTTAGGGATGCTTCCAATCGACAGAGAGAGACACTTCTTTCACCAAGAAATTCACAACAGTATCAGACAGCCCTAGTTATTATGTCCACTGGACATCACAATGAATTACGGACCACCCTCTTCTACAGGACACTACTACACACCAAAGTTTACTGTTCAACCACAACATGGTCTCACTTATTCTGGGCTAAGCATTCTTATTTCTTAAAATATCTGAAATACTATGCTTACTTTCACTTTAAACACAGAATTGTCTGTTTTTTTAAATGGGAGGTCCAAAGCTAGACAAGGCCTGGCAGGCACTTATTGATCACTATACTAAAAATGAAAAAACAAAAACAAAACCAAAAAAACAGTAGAGGGTAATCAACTAAAAAATTATTAGAGGTTAAATGGCCCTTCATACATAAAATTCAATAGATCAAACAGACCTTCACATATGCAGTTCAATGTTGCCCACTATTAGATTTTTCTTATCAAATAATTTAAACATACACTAGTGCCTGCAATAAAATGGGTAGCTTTCAGGATTCAATTATTTACCAAAAGTTTAAAGATTTGCTTAGCAACTTTACCTGAGCATCAGAGACACTAAAGCAAATCATCGTGATATGTAGTAGAGCAGTGTTTCCCAAAGTGTGGTACGCGTACTCCCAGGGTCACGGGAAGAGTTTGGTGGGGGTGCGCACTGCACCGGAGTTTGGTGGGGATATGTACTGCACCGTGCTTAGTTGTGCCTAATTCTATGTTCTCATGAGTACAAAATCAGTTCCACAGTTTGGGGTACTCAGCGTTACAAAAATTACAGAAGGGGTACACATATGTCAAAAGTTTGGGAAACACTGTAGTAGAGAATTATAAATGGAAAGCATCAGTAAATAGTTCAAATACAGACCTCCCTCCTCCTCCAAAAACTGCCCAAAATTACTTAAAGGTAATATGTTCAATCAGAAATAAAATAATGTTTGTTAGGGAAAAGAGTAACTACCAAGATATAGGTAGCTATTAAAATATTACAATTTAAAAATTGTTATCAATACAAAATAAATATATTCTAAACTGCTTTTATACATATAATCAAAATCTGTTTCCTAAGTTTTATCTTCATATATCCATTTTATACTAGTATTAGAGGCCCAGTGCACAAATTCATGCACGGATGGGGTCTGACCTGCATCCCCTATTAATCAGGGTGATTGGGCTGGGCTGGCCTGACCTGGGGAGGAGCCGTGGGCTGTTGGCTGGCCGGCCCCACCCCTGATCCTGATTGAGGTAGGGTGGGGTGAATCAGGGGTGGGTCTGGCCAAGGGAAGGGTCTGCAAGTGGTTGGGCCGGACATTTCCCACCCCTGTTCTAGAGCCTATGTCCTTCTCTGAATTGCTAAATGACAGAAATGCTCTAAGCCAGTGGTTGGCAAACTCATTAGTCAACAGGG